GATCCGGGCTAGCATCGTCAAATCTACCGAGGCGGCTGGTTCTCAGAGACGCTGTGGCTCGACATTAGCTTTCATCCCGGGTACACAGCTCGTCGCATTCAGGTCAAGCGGTGGGTTCTGCTGGTCCAGGAATAAAAGGGGGGGAAAAATGGGTGTAGCTAGCGAGCGTTAGCGGTCAACGGTAACTAACGTTACAGCGTTACCAAAGCTAACGTTATAGCTGGCTAGGAGACAAGTGTTAGCAATGGTTAAAGTTTCTAAACGTGTCTTTTGTAGAGTCGGTGTTTCCAGTGACCAGTTAGCAGCCCACCAGCTGGCTGTCCCCGCTGTAGAGACCCCACGCGATAGTGAACGGCTTCTTGGATGTCCTCTCGGTAATTTGGTTAGCATCGAGGCTAACAAGCTAGCACTGTGTTTGCCACACAAAAACCGGATGTTTGGGCAAACGGCACAGCCGAGAGCCCCGTAGACGCTTCGCTGTGTTCGTTGGGTTTGCGCTCAGCAACACGTTAGAAAAGCGGTGTTTAGGGGACACGTCTGGCTCCAGTGGAAACATGCACCGTAAGCGCTTTCGTTCGGTGTCGTTTTTTTTTACCTGTCAGTCGGATCTTGATGCTGGACCCGTTCCTCCGAGTCCCAGGATTCGACATCACTCCGGGAAAAACGATCACTCAAACTTCCCGTCAGAGTCCCCCCAAAACACCGTTTCACCACTTAATGGGAACGCGAATAACTTCCGTTTAAAAACATGCGGCTTGTTTTGGTTTTCCTCACAGGTAAAAAGGTATTATTTCATCGCAAAGTCCTGCGGTCTTTCGAAATCCAACTACACGGGAGAGCATTTTCGGGCAGGCTCAAGAACGTACTGACGTCACGTCCTTAACGGGTATTACGTTACGTGCTCGCGTCCGAGAAGCGTGGGCATGCCCGTAAATATCATATTCTAATAAACCTTCAGACTTGTAGTTTTGCTTTCATTTCGGGTAGGATACTGTATTCTCCATGAAAGAAAAACATACCCCTGATCATTTGAACACTCAATTACACGGAATTACATTGCCTGAAATGCAGTGAGACAATTAGCAGATAAAGTGGGAAATCAATAAGGTTTTCTTTAACATTGTATCATGTTTTCTGATTTGTACCATTTCCCAAAACCTCTTAAATACCACCAGCCCCAGGATATATCGATATTAATTATATGAGTTTTCAATTATTTAATTACTTCACAACAATATCAATAGCACTGTGTGCATAATCAGGACCGAAAGGTATTCTGCAAGTCTAGTAGCCACGCGGTTGACAAAATGAATTCATTTGAAAACTCAATCTAGTGTCTGCGCAAACCTCCAATGTACAGAATCACTTTTGAGATGGCAGTGAACTCCAAAGTTTCATCCAACAGGTTTGTAATTAGGAAGATTCCAGGTAGTTGTTGATGGAGTTTTAGTTTTAGCATTTGAATGCAACAACACAGAAGACATAGTATAGTTTAAACTGCATTCATGCACAATTGTTGTTCACAAGGAGGAGACTATCAACAGATAATGCAGATATGACATTAATTCAGAATGAAGTCACTTTATCTTGAACGATATGCCGTGCTTCACAAAATGTTTTGTCAGGATTGTGAAGCACAGTGAAGGTTGAGGGGGAGCCGGGTGGGCACGGATAATGGCTGCAGGGATTTGGCTGCACGGCTGCAGTATTAGCTGTTGGAACAATGGACCCTCTCACCAGCCTGTTTACAGGACACAGTAAATCCACATAAGCAGTGAAACGGCTCATGGGACACCCCACACTTCCAGAGGCGCTCTCACACACACACACATACACACACACACACACACACACACACACACACACACACGCTCATAAAGGCAAGGGGCACAGGTGGAAGTGATCATTTTAAGATCTTTCACTCTTCTTTTTCTTTAGTTTTACTCTTCATCCCACATTCACATTAAAAAAAAAATCTGCAAACACACTGCATATATTTTACCTCCACAGGTGGAGAAACAAATTGACACGTATCTCACAAACTCACATGCACACGCTCACACACACCCACATAAATTGATTTATCCCTCTGAATCAGTCAGCTGTTGTTATGATTAAGTGTGTGTGTGTGTTTTATTCAGCCAAAGATTCTTTGAAACCCTTGAGACCAGTTGAGTGTGTTCACAACTACTTAAATAGTTCCAATCATAGAGACTGACTTAGTTTAAGCTCTCACTGAAGCAAAAGTCATTCCTCAGCTGAACAGTTGTGAAACCTCATCCGTGGGCCAAATGTGAGTTTAATCTCGCAAAATGAAATCACATTACTACAACTACAACTTTGTTGCTTTTCAGAGAAGCAGGGTGGTTGCTGTTCTTGGGCCTGGGACGATATCAGGAAGAAGAAAGCCTGACATTAAACATGTGCCTCCCGAGCTTTCCTCCGTCTCCCCCATTGGTTCGTTATCTGAAGCAAACATTGGGTCCCGTTAAGATGAGGGCAGGTGTCGTCGTTATTTTTTTTTTAAAGAATTACATTAACTTTAAAAGATATTGAACTGATGTCGAGAGGAATCTGAATAATCTCACTGAGGTTGCGATAATCATGATGATCAAGCGGTGACTGTGAGGAGGCACGATGTTCAGCAGACGGTAACCTGAATACTACTAAGCCAACGAAACAGCCGACCTCAGGTTCCTCAATGACGCCAGCTCCCTGAGAAAAGCCACACAGGCGCCGCTACGTCTGCATGAGGATCTACATCTAACCTCTTGTAGCCCCATTCTACAAATAAATGTCACATGGTTCGTCTTGTGGAGCAGCATTCAGCCCGGGAAAACAACTGTATTATATCGTCTATGGCTTCTGTGAACTTTGCCACGTATTAGAAAATAACTTGTTTGTCATAGAGCCGCATTAACAAAATGGTGAGATGGAGTTTGAAAGAAAGGCGTTTAGAAAACATGCTATTGGTTGCATTGTGGGACATGTAGGGTTCCACTGAGTCACCAACAAGCAGATGAGTTCTCACGTTGTGCCGCGTCCTGCAGACCTCTTTGTATATTCCTACCTGCTTCTGGACCTACTCGGGCCTCTTCTGTGTGACCATCACACGGCGCCCGTCTACGCCGCCGAAGTGCCCCAGATATCCGAGGGGAAAGAAACGCACCGGTATTCCTCCTCACTTCCTTCTCCCGTCTCTGACAGCACCGACCACAACATGCTGATGGGTGGGGAGCGTGGAAGCCGGGTCATCGTTGGTTGTTGGGCTGCGAGGGGGGAGGAGGTTGAGTCGGCTCAGAGGAGAACAGCCACCCAAGTGTTGTGTGATGACTTGGGATGAACCCCGTCGGGTCGAGGTGCTTAAAAGTTGTTCATGTGTGCAGAGGAACGCCGACGACCCTTCGGATGGAACAGAACAGGAGGCGGGAGGCGGGCCTGCTGAAGCTGAGGCGCAAGCTGGAGGAGGCAGAGCTCCAGTCAGAGGTCACGGCAGCGGCGCTGAGGAAAAAAGCACGTAGGGGACCGGACCAGAGTGGAGGCCAAACTGAAGAACAGACAGAGAATGAAGACAGAGATCGAAGAGCTTCGACGTCAACAGGGAGGCCTCTCACAAAGCGAACAGACCTAATAAACGCGTCTGCCGCTCTGAATCAAAATGCGGCCAAAAGATCCACTCGCGTCGATCTCGTGGAGCCTTTTAATTGAATCCCACAATCGCCTCTACTGCTCTTTCCTAACACCCACTCTCCTCGAGACGATGGAAACTGGCAGTGCGTCTCCAGGAGGCCGAGGAGGCGGCTCAGGCCGGAGCTGCCAGCCTGAATGAGGCCAGCCGGAGGGCGCTGGGGGAGGTGTGAGACCTCAACGTAGACCTGGAGGGTGTATATAATCACACACGCTTGCATACATACATACAAGTTAATGTAACAACACATAACACAAACAACCTGCAGGAGGTTTGTGCTCCAACGAGGTCCGGAGGAGGCAGAAACGTCACTCGAGAAGAGAAACTCGCCGTGTGGGAGTTCTGGCTGTAGAATGTGTGGACCACCTAATGTGGACAAATTATATGGGACAATAAATGAACAGGCAGATTTGATGGGGGGGAAATTGACTAGTGTACAAAACAAGAGACGTTTGCTTCTGTTGTTGTGCAGTTGTGTGTGTCCAGGTGGGAGAAGGTAAGCTGGTACGTGTGCAGCCGGAGCTCCTTCAGGACGAGGCCGACATCGAGCCACGAGAAGAAGGAGGAGTTTCAAGTGATTAAGAAAACACAACGTTCTTACGCTGAGAACGAGCGTGGTTGACAAACACGCACAAGAAAAGAACCTCTTTCAAGAAAGTTAATTCATTATCACTGCATGAGACTTATTCAAATTACTCCAACTCAGTGGTCCTGCTGATTAACACCCTGATAGAAAATCATTGTTGTTGATTGTCAAAATAGATGCATGGTGGGCGAGTGTGTGTGAGGATATTTGTCATGGTGGAGCTATTTGGATGTGACTATTTAATCTTTGATTAATTTTTTTTTAATATACTAACTCTCAAGAAAAGGCAGACATTATATATGAATCTCTGGGACATGGAAAATAAAACAAAACAACTCCACCTTTTCTCACATCTCCTGCTCATCATTGAGGACATGGAGGCCGATGCTGCTCTGCGTCTGCTGAATGGCCACTAACGGTGATAATAAAGAGGATTTTATAGACTGCTGCAGCGCCCCCAAGTGAAAACAAATCAATTCATGCAGGTCGAAATGTTGCACCACGGAATTATTGTAAAATGAGTATACATTTGCGTACAAATGTAGTTGGTAACTAAAATAAACTTTTCAAACTGCACCACAAAATGGGCCCTTTGTAGTTATAGTGCTCGTTACCGCAGTGGTTGACAGGGAGTGAACTTGGACCAATGCTGTTGCCATAGCAACAGAATGGCAATAAAAGGTTCTGCGAGCAAGCCCCCAAAGTGTAACAAGAAGAAACGGCACCTTATCTCATACATCCACATGGAATTTATTTTCATTTTAGTTTCAGATGAACGTTTCACATTTTGTACAAAATCATTAGAAAATGCCTGTGACTCCAGATCCTCCATCGGCGCCTTCAGACACCAAAGGACTTAATGGGGGGAATTATGCGGCGCCCTGGAGCGGTCGATGAGGCTCAGCCTGCGCTCCAGAGCAAGCAAACACACACACACACACACACACACACACACACACACACACACACACACACACACACACACACACACACACACACACACACACACACACACACACACACACACAGCCCTCCGGTGTCCTCGGTCAGAACCCGACGACTTCCCTCCGCGTCTGGTGACGTACAGAGTGCCGTTACGGCGAGGACGTTGTCAACGACCACCTCTCTCCACCGACCTCTCGACCCCCCCCCCCCGCCCCCCACGAGTGTCTCTGATGTATGGACAAAGGACCACGTTGACAACACCATGCATGTTTTCTAACGCATGACACACCGGTGGCTATTATCGGGTACGTACGATTTAGGAAAGAAATCATCACTACTGGAGTTTAAGAATCAAACCAAAGACTGCGGGCCTGAGGAGGGGGGGGGGCGGCAGGGTTCACTGAGCCTCTGTGTGGGTGAAGTGGAAAGTGAGAGGGGGGGTGGGGGGCGGATTTGGGGGACAAATGAGGCTAATTACTCAGTCTTTTGCTAATGTACATGCCCAACACACACAAGCTGTCAGCACAAGCGCACAAACACACTCTTAAACGCAAACACCTCCGCCTCGTGCCAAAGGCTTTTAAATCAATCTTTGGAGGTTAAACTTGAGCCGGACGAGTGATCACTCACGGGGCCCCAAGAAAAAAAGAAAGATGGTATACACAGTCGATTAAGATCCGACATCTGAAAATAGATTGTTTTCTTTTAAGCCAATGCAAAGACGCCCCCCCTCCTCTCAAACAGAACAAAAGCACGGCGCTGAAGCAGAGAGGCACTTACACAAACACTTCCATTATACACGGTGCTTGCGTCTGTGTGTCTTAAGTGAAGACACAGCTACATTTGTTTTCTTTTATCAAACGTCCAACACACACACACGCGCGCAGATACTCGTTTTCACATGGGAGCATGGTTTTAGCAGTTGGCACATGTACATGCAAAGCGTCAGTTTGACCTGCGCAGGCAAACTGAGAGAAAAGGGGGGCCGAGGCAGGAGGGAGGGAGAAAAGATAGACATGGATGTGAACGGACAGACGCACAAACAGACAGGCTCTCGAACACTTTGGAGTGTTTAAAAACACCCCCCCCTCCTCTCCTCCTGTCTCTGATCCCGCCCTCCTTGTGTCACACGTTCGTAGCAGCACCAGAGGAGCCCTCTGATTGGTCGGTACCAAGTCAGTCAGTTTCAAGGATGAGTGGCGGTTGCTCGTTCTCTTCCTCTAGGTGCAGGTCGTTGAGGTCATCTTCTAGGCCCGCCCCTCCCACGGCTCCCTGCTCTTCACAGTAACCTAGCAAGACAAGGGATCAACGGTCTTAATTCACACACACAACTTCGGACACGTCTTTTTGGAACAATGTCAAATGTCATAAAGAGAGAAAAAGTTTCAAATGAATTTTGTTTTTCAAATGAAAAGTTTTAAAAATGAATTCTAGTGACAAACCTTTAGCGGCAGCAGCACTGTAGGTTTGGGCCATAAGAGGGCGGTCATGTGACTGCTCAAGGATCTCATTGGCTGGCTCAGCAATGCCGTCCAACCTGAGGAGATTCAGAAACAGAAACTCTCAGGACAACTCTCCATCCTTCAGATTGCAGTGTTCAGTGACCCGCTCGTTGTCACTCTCCACTCTGTGTGTGTGTGTGGTACCTGTGCTGCTTCATTAGTGTGCACTCCCCTCCCTCTTGTGGATCCAAGTTGTACAGATACAGGTAACCATCAGCAGCTGCCACCAACAACCTTGGAATCTTCTGAATTCTGATTAAAAAAAACAAACAAAAAGAGTGCTCGTTTTTTTTCAACGATGGGAGAGGAAGTGCCTTCAGCTACCACGACTTGTATGCTGTTGTTATGCAACTGCTGAAACTGTGCTCGGATCACAGTCAACTTTGTAATCTGGAGTAATGATCTGCAGCTCTCTCATCAAATGGCACTATTACAGCCTGATATAACACAAAGGGGATTTGTGTTATCACTGATTGGGTTAACACTTTGACGGCATCCAGGCCGACAGGAGGTTAAGTGATTCAAATGTTATAGAAGCAGCATAACAGGGAGTTATCATGTCTGAGCAAGACTGATAACATCCTCAGCTAGACATTAACTTCACAGATCATTTTAATAATATCTTTCACGGAGAAAATTATCTCAGGGACCAAAACATGAAGAACATGTGTGACCATTGTGTTCTTCTTTCTCTATAATAAACAAAGAGGGAATGAAAGGTGCAAATACAAATGTGCATGACCTGCCTGGACTGCATTTGTACTCACACAGCTAAAGCGCAGATGTTCTTATGTCCACAGAAAGGCAGACGTACGGTAGCGAAGGCTCGCCCCTGGGTGAACATTTCCGTAACCTGAGAAGGCAGGTAGGTGGTGGACGCCATCAGGACCTTGCCCAGGTACCCTCCCCATGTGGTGGGCTCCTCCGCTGGCCTTCACACACACACACAGACACACGCAGAATGTGAGAAGCCTCTGTTATTCATGAAACATAAGTAAGCAGGCAGAAATCATCTCCAGACCACAGATGCTTTTTAAAAAGAACATTTTTGTCTGAAGTCCGATGCAGTATGCTGGAAACAGAAAGGTACGTACACATACTTCTCCTTCTGCGTCTCTAATTTGAAGATGTGCACCGTCTCCGTGTTGCTGGAGGCGGACAGGTAGAGTCCTTCCATGCTGAACGCCAACGAGCAGATGCTCACACACCTACAATAAGATCACACGCACGGGGACGATGTTGATACCCAAACTTACAGCACGTATAAACGACGCACAATAAACGCCGCCTTGATCTAAAGGTCAAACCGCCTACCTCTTGACTCCTCTCCGAAACTCAAAAAGCTTCTGTCCCTCGGGGATGGAGAAGACTCGAATGACTGTTCCCTGGGAGGAAGTGGGAGACAAATAACAAGCGGAGGAGGATAAAGCGACAGTAATCTTCAAGCACACACACACAAATAAATAAGCCACATAATCATCGGGTCAATGCACTGTACAGCGAGTGTCTTACCTTCTCCGAGGCCGTGGCCATTTTGGTTCCACTGGCGTCGAAAGCCAGAGCTGCTAATGGGCTGTCGTGGGCCGGAATCATGTTAGCCGCTCGCTGGGAAAAGACGCATGGACACGAGTTAGAGAAGCGCCACTTCAGAGGAGGACAAAAGAAAGTGGCGAGTACCAGCTGTGACTGATGAGGGAAACACTGGCTGACGGGACAGCGAGGACAGAGTCCCACAGGACACCATTTCATTTCAGCTTTGGGTCTTTTACAGAATAAACACTCAGCAGTATGTCTGCCCCAACGTGTATGAAAGGATGAAGATGAAGTACATGCACATGTAATTGGATTTGCTGTTGACTTACCAGGTTGACTGTGTCGAACACCTGGACTTCTCCTATCGTAGCACTGCCCGGGTACGCCAGGTAACAGTTATCGTTGCTGATGGAAAGGGCGCACAATCCTGGAAAAACATGTACACAAAATGACAACTGATTAACAAATGCAGGACAGAGAAAGAAGAACGAATCCCACTCCAACAGAAGCGCGCTCATTTGGACGAGACGACGAGAGAAACGGAAGGAATGACTCTACACCCATCCAGATGTTTAGAATAGTTCTGCCAGCATGAGGGGGGGGGGGGGGGGGGGTTTAAGTGGTTCTATTAAATAGACAAATATCACAGAAGGAACTCAGAGTGCAGTGACAGTTGTTTTCCCAACAGCAAAATGAATGCAGTGGATTGTGAACAAAGAAAAAGCGAGAAAAAAAATTGAAAACTTCCAAGGAGAAACCAAAAGTTGAAGAAAGTCCGATCCCTGGTTTCAGTTTGAGCACGTAATATAGTGAAAACATGATAGCGTACCAGCTATTATGCTGTATATAGATATGTATATACTATACCACATGTATACCTACTCCACAGTACACTACTTCCCTCACCTGAAGGGTTGGGTGGAGTTTCTCTGATGGTGTGCAGCACTTTCATGTCGCGGATGTTGTGAATGTAAAGGGACTCCTCCAGACACACGATCAGCCTCTGCATGGGAAGCACACGGCATGCCGATCAAAGACAAACTAGGCACGGATACACTACCCAACTATGAAATCTGCACAAGGTAACTACATCTTCTGTGGTTAGAGGAGTATGTGAGTGAGACCTAGGCTGGATTTTAATGGTCCAAAAAATGACCTCCTGGCGTCTATTCCTAACCACTATTCCTGGACCTCTGTGGAAAACGTCACGGGGTCCAGGAAAGATGGTTAGGAGAATTCATGAGGAGTTAGGCGTGTTTAGGGATTCCGACTCCACTTTCACTAAGTTACAAAGTTATGATGCGACGGGAGACACACGTTAGTGACGTCAGTGGATTTCTCCAAAGATGGACTACATCTTAGATGCCTTTGTTCATGTGTTGTTACACTGCTGTATAATGCAGACGACATAAACAACCAGGTTCAAAGTACTACTTTATTAACAAGGGCTGCAATATAAATGAGTAATACTAACGGGTACTTATACGATCTCCTTTCTTTTTGTAAAGGATGGTCCAGTGCTTCCTATGCTAAAGGAGCTAAGTAAGGAAGCATTGAGGCTGCTTTCCTTAGGAGTTATAGAATTCGTACAGCTCTTATCCCAGCAGCCACTTTCACTACTTCTGGGTTATTTCACTCAGTTAGGAACCATCCTCAGCAAAAAGGACTAATGGAATCCAGCCAGGATATCTGACAGACAGGTCTTTCTTGGGCTCGCCCGTCCTCCCACCTGTCTGTTGAGCTTGACTGCCAGTATGGTGTTGGAATAGGAGTAGTTGCAGATCTCGGTTCCCTTCTTGAAGTGACAGACTTTGAGCTTCCTCGGCGCTTTTAGGCTCACGATGGCCACCAGGCTGCTGGAGAACAGGCGCTCCACGATGCAGACATCCTCTGTGTCCGCTGTACAGACAACCGCAAACACAGAAATCATCCCAACGTTCACGGTCCCCTTTTGTTAGCAGCATCTCTGGGACCTTAACCACTTGAAGAGATAAAAACTAAACAACTTTGTATTGGTGGTTTAAATTGAACAGGATAATCACAAGGTGACTAGTTAGCTCACATGCATTGATGCAAAGAATAGATCATATTGTAAATTATGAAAATCCAATGATGAGGAGTAAACTGGAAGTTATGCTATATCGGTGTGGGAAGAGTATCATTAAGACTTTATGAGCATTCAAAGTGACACAGATGCTACGAAGATGCAACGGTTGTGTCCCAACCGAGTCTGCATTTAAAAGCATTGAGTCATGGAAATTACTGAACAACAAAGTGACACAACAGCGATGCTGTCAGCATAGAGCACGAAGCTTTAAACTCTGATAGACAAAAGAAAGATCTACTTACTACATTCATATATCTGCTCCAATTTGTCCACAGAGGACAGGGAGAAAAACTTGTATCCCGATTTGGTGCCAACAGCCAAGGACCTGCAGAAATAACACACAACAACAGCATTGAGCAAACACATCATCACGTCACTGCGGCCGTACACACCGCGGGATGCTCCGTTACCGGCCACCGGTGAACTCAGCAGACTGACGTCACTCATCCCGTTAGAAGTACGTTAAAAGGGAAACCGTTGCATCGTCACCGAACCGTCGCCAACAGGCGTTTAGCGCGAGTGCACCAAAAAGGTAGAATAATTACACGGACTTCTTCTGTAAGGACGTATACGAAGAATAATAACAATAGTCACTACGGGCACAACGAGAAAAACATACGTGACACCAAACCGAAATGTCTATTGTGGCTAAAGTTAGCCTCGGACCACAGCATCACGTTAGCTCAAAGGAGCTAGTTATGCTAGCGAAGAACGTAACGTCATTCAGTCAACTGGACAGCCGGCTAAAGTGGGCCCGCGTCGCCATTACGTTTATTCCTCGTGTAAAAAAACCCGCCGGCGGACTGATCGATTCCCGCCCTAGCCCGACCCCGGTGAGGCGTCCGGACGGGTCCACGTTGAGCTAGCTAACGTCCCCTAGCTTGACAGCACGGGGCCATCGGAGCGCCAGACTCTCCGCCTCGGCCCTGTCTTACGTGTTGTCCTGGTTGAAGTTGGCGAAGAGAAGCTGGCTTCCGCCAGCGTCCCCGCTTTGACTGGCCAGGTTCATGGACTCGACAACATCGGCGTGTACAGCTCCGGTAGAAACGGCAGCGGGTGGGGCCGGGATACGTGCTGCGCTGAGGGCCACAAGGCTCGGGCTTCAGGGAGCCATATCTCTCTCTCTCTCTCCGGGCTCCGCTGTGGTGATTGTTGTTGTTTTTCCGAGGCGCTGTTGCTCGCGCTCACTGCGCATGCGCCGAGCACGCAGCGTGCAGTCGCTTTAAAGAGCCACGGACGTTTTTGGCAAATGCGGATTGTTGATGATGATGAACGTGATAATTACACGGTGGGGGGGGTTACATTTGTATTCACGTTCGGTCCACGGGTGACAGAGACTTAAGAAGTATGCACAGCTCTTCTGAAAATACTTTGCTCTACTGTGCAGTAATTATTTGTGATGTAGTGTGACAGCGCCACCTATCCTCAACATGTTCAAACAACAGAAGGGGCGAGATGCACGATCTTCTTGGATTGGTGGGCTATATTAATCATATTTCTTCATAATGTCCTTGACAATACACTACGGCTCCTATCTCAGCTCCGTCCTAAAATAGAATATTAATGCGTTATCTATTTGTCATCACACCGTTTATAAACCTGCTATTTACTGTAACGGTTCTACCATAGTGGAATATAAATAATTATCTTAATTCCAAAACATATATCACCTTTCTTAAACGTTTTGCATATTTCAATGTTCGAACAAAAACTCAATAAAAAACTACAAAGGTCTGAAGCTAAACAGGATAAATTTGGTGATCTAAATTTAGCCTTCTGTTTTTATATGAATTAACAAAACTGTTCCCTTAGGGTTGCTCTTTTACTTCTGTGCTTCTATTTTCTGTCCATTCATGTCACAAGAACACGAGTTGAACTGTCATGTCTGCTGCATTTCTGTCATAAGGACTTACCTGTCTTAAAACAGCACATTCGCCTTTTGAATATACTGATATTCCATTAACCAATGAACAAGGCACACACACACACACAAACACACACACACACACGCGCACACACACACGCACACACACACACGCACACACGCACACACACACACACACACACACAAACATGGAGACACACACAGTATATATACACATGAGGCGTGAGATGGTCGTAGTTTCTGTCTCCCTGTACTTGTTGCACTAGTTTCAGGTGGAAGTCTGAGAATGTCAGAGAGCGATTTTGAGGCAGACGAATTATTCACTTGATAACATCATTAAAAAGAGAAAGAAAACTATAGCGAAATGTCAAGTAGAGAATTCTGTGAATCATAAACCTGAGAGAACATGATCCTTTACAAAAGCGATACTAAGCAGAACAAAGGTCTCCTGAAGAGCATCATTTGTTGTGACATTTCCTCAGTAGAAAGAGCACAGTGACTCCGTCCGTTTAGTGACTCGGGAGGCCCTTTGATTCCGTGCCAGCTGCGTCCTTTGGCCCAGTTTAGTGTTTTCAGGGGCCGCGTGTCGGCCTCTGCGATAGAGGCAGCGCTCCGACACACCGTGTACTGGCCTTTGGTTTACACAAGCCAGAGCCCCCAAGTAAACACGAGGGACGCAGAGACAGATGTTTGTAAAAGGCTTTTATGTTTGTTTCATGCCTTTGATACGAAGTCACTCTAACTCCTTTTTAAATGTAAAAGCCTTTACTCAATATATTTGCACATAGTCGTACCCACAATGTGTACATGTTTTGAATCTTATCCGTTAACACGGACTGTACGTTTCTTATTTGGATGTGTGTGTTTGCACACAGCTGCTGCACAGTTGCACAAAGGGCCTCTGCTGGCAACAGTTATTGTGGGTAATATTTAATTTCCATTCATTCTGAGCGTCGTGTGTGTTGTGTTAAAAAGAGGCTCCAGGGGATCTGCTAAATTGAATTCACCGAGAGGGATCAAAGGGGAAGCTTGTTAGTTGAAATTTGTTTGCATGTTGTCCCTCTGTCGTCTGCGTGGATCCGCAGCCGCCGTGTTTGAGACATTCAATTGTTTACTTCTCAGGTTTAGGCTTCAGCTGACATATTTGTTGTCTTGGTGTGAGAATGATTTGGATTGCAAGACAAGAATTCATTATTCTTCGCAAAAATAATTGGCAGTTTGCAAACCTGAATGGGAACCTTTACTCCAAGAAATAATCATGTGCCCCTTTTGGGGATTTTAAAGGCTGAATTATTTACTTTTTACACATTTCATGATGGTAAGGCTAATGAATAGATGCAAGATCGTACTTGTTCATTCCTGGCAGTGTGCAGGGAGGAGAATAGGGAGAATTCCGGAAATCAAAACACTTTTTTTAATCAACATCATTGGCAGCACAAAGGAAACATGCCACCCGCGACTGATATATTGTACAATACATTCCGATCCTGTGAATTTCCCCATTGTGAGACTAATAAAAGAATGTCCTTTCTTATTTTATTTTATTCTCTTATCTTACATTAATAGATTGTTACGCATTAACGTGCGAGCAGCATTCTAATGTTTTAGCTGAGCCACAAATCAGAACAGTTTTGTGACAATGCGAGAGAAGACAATGCTGTGATGCACCACGGACCCCTGGAAGTGTGTCTTTACATTTCATTCTCTCTGCACTGCAACATGAACGACTTTCACAAATGACTTACAAAAAAGAATCCAGTTGTTGTTGTTGCGTTGCGTGGAGCTGTCGCTGTTTGCTGGTGTGTTATCATCCGCCTGCAAAGAGGGGGAAGGAGAGGGAAGGGGAGGGGAGGAGAAGGGGGGAGAGGGGAGGGGAGGGGAGGGGAGGAGGGGTCACAAACCAAGTCCCGCGGAACATCCCGCAAGCACATCGGAACGAAACTCCGCCACGGTGGAGCCTCCATCGCGCGTCGCCCGGGTCGCCGCTGGAGGAGCAGCGGCGCTCCGACACTCCGTGTGCTTATGTTCGGACGCGCGGCGGCGGGACATCCGGCACGGGGGATCCGTAGGAGGGGACGTCGACGCGCGCTGCTTGAGCTTTGGGTAAATAGAGCGCGGTGCCAACGGGCCAAGCGCACGAGATGGACTTTAAGAGGACCAAATTTGGAAGGTATTTAAAAAAAAAGAAGAAAAAAAATGTAGATACGATAACAGGAAAGTTTGACAGCTTGTTTCCCATTTGTGACACCTCATGTTCATCCATGCGAGCCGATGCGCTGGCACGGCAACACGGGACGTTATCGATGTGTGTGTGTGTGTGTGTGTGTGTGTGTGTGTGTGCGTGGCAGAGAGATAAAGAGAAAACAACCCAGCCAAACACGCTGCAAAGAACTTCTCTCCGTTTCAGTCTTACCATGAAAACACGGTATTACTCCGCGCTTCTCCAGCTACCTTTCCAAACATCTCCGCCGCTCAGGTTCCTCCGTCGGCTTTCACTTACACAGCAGTTTACTGTCCTGAATGTTGCATTCCTCTGTCCTTATGCGTGTGTGCGCGTATGTGCGTGTGCGTGTGAGTGTGGGAGATGGCGATCGTTGTGAGAACCAGAGTTTGAGTCCCACAGGAGAGAACTTTATTCTTTTCCTTTTAAGGAAATAGCGCTGGTGTGTACACACACACACACACACACACACACACACACACACACACACACACACACACACACACACACACACACACATTCCGATAGTGTATCCCACCATGATCCAAAAGTTCTGATCCTCTTAGATGCAATCGATCCTATTAATGTAAGGAATGCGCTGCATTGTGCTTTTATAACCCTCGCCCTGGTTAGGTGAGGAAACACGCCACACGCATTCATTAAGGACACATTGACACCATAAGACACACGTGTGTGGAGCATCTCAGAACATGAGAGAGAGAAAGGAGAAAGAATAGTGTGTCGCCGAGGACAACAATGCCCTCTCTGATCAGAGCCTGCAAATCTCTATCCAGTCCTTTCAGTTCATTACACACACACACACACACACACACACACACACACACACACACACACACACACACAGGGGAGTTCTGTCATAACCGATTAGAGGACATCCGAGTGCTACATTCAGGTCCATTGATATCCCTACAAAACCACAATAGTGCTCAGAAAAAAAAGTGCTCACTTAGGGGAACAACCAAAGGAACAGCAGCCAAACAACAGCCTAATGTTACTAAACGTTCTCTTCATGTGGATTACATCAAGTGAGTGATGCACTCTTAATGATTTGCTCTTAATTTGTGATTTAGCACTTTTGTAAAACAGGTAAAAGACTTCTGATTACAATATTGAAGTCTTAGCGAAAATATGAAAGTATTTCCAAAGCAGTGAAGTCAGTGAGAGCGATGGGCTCCGTTAGTGCTGGTAGGCACAAACTAAACAAACAGGTCCAGGTGAAACATAACAAAAGGTGTGTATGTGGGCTTGTGGAGGTTGTGTGTGAAACGGACGGATGTGTTTTCACCCACAATAAAACAACACCCTGGCATTGTTGTCATGAGGGTTCTGAGGCTCTAACAGAAAACCAGACATCCAGTCAACTGGACTCATTCTCTTCCTGACCACACGGGACCTTTTCTGATGCAGCGTACAGAAGACGCTCTCTTAGCGAAATGTTTACGGCTTCGTAGGTCGGCGCTCTGGAAATGTATTTTGCCAGATGTCAGCCACGTTACCTGGAGCTTTTGTGGTAATCAGGGTGGTAATCTGACTTTAAAGGTGAGAGTTGTGGCGTCCCTTTGTCTGGTCTTCTGATTTACTTTCTGCTCCTTGCGCACAGTTAACAGCCGATTAAAACAAACAACTATGGAACGTTAGCGTGTTGTAAATGAGGCGTGATGCCTGTATGTGCGCGTGGCGAGGAGGCGTCGGCCTAAATGTGTAATCAAATAACACAGCTGACCAACGCAGACACACCTGTGGCCCTGCACAAAAGGCCGCGTTCAAATCGCTGTGCGCGTGCTTGGTTGAGTGCTTGTGCTCTGGCGCACGAGTTTGTATGTGTGTGTGTCTGTGTGCATCCAGATGAAGAAAATGTGGTTTCGTAACATCTCCAGATGTGTTTTTCCCTTGTAAACTGGGATTGAGGGATTTACTGCTGATTAAATACACAAAGTCAAACACACGCACACAAGCATGCGCGCACATACACGCCAACACGCAAACACACACAATCGCATAGTCTTCTCAGTAGTATTTGGCAAGCCAACAAATAATGCAAATATAGTCAATAGTTGGTGGTCAGTGGTATATTTTGTTGCACTGGTGACCATAGCAATGCGGATAGTTGCCCCGGCAACGATGAGGCAAACTAAAATTCATACAACGTGACCTGGATTAGAGACCTGTAAATCTTTCAAGAATGACCATCATACACACACACACACACACACACACACACACACACACACACACACACACACACACCATTACCCGTCGTGGGTTCAGCACATAGTAACTTATTAACTAAAAAAGCGGAACCTTGTTCTGCCCTCTGGATCTGCATTCATTTGCTGAACACCCACCTTCTCTCTCCTCTTTGTGACTCTCTCCCTCTGCCTCCCCCGTCTCCCTCCCTCACCTCTGTCTCTCGCAGGTTCATGAACTGCAGGGTCCCGGCCAGTAGGAGGTACCAGCCCACTGAATACGAACATGCTGCAAACTGTGCCACACACGGGGTGAGCCGAGCGGACACACGCGCGGTTTCCCTGCAGTCGGCCTGTTCTTTCTCTCTCTGGACCCCAACACGCGTGTTCTCTGCGTGTGCCGAGTCTGTCAGCTCAAACGAGCCTCTGAAAAGATGGAGAGGACTGCGGTGGAATATGGAAGCTGTAATCTGTGATTCGGCCTGTGGCTTTCTCTAATCTGCTGTAATCCCTGTGAGCTTCCGCCAACTGTCAGAAAGTGAATGAAACAGACGGACGGACATTGAAGGAAACTGATTAAACGCGGCCGAGATGACTGTAAAGCCTCCAATTCTTCACTCCATTCATTCAAGCATTCGTTCATTCCACCAGTACCATTTCTCAGAGCAGCGTATCAAGTGTCATCCTCACTGTCGCTCGATACAGAATCAGTTTAAGGAGAAGTTTGATGTCAGTCTCATGTGTGGTAAAAGAGAAGCTACAGCCAGCAGACAGATTGCTTAGCTGAGCATCAAGACCGGAACCAGCTAATGTCTCTGTCAAGAAAAAATCCACTGCAGTTGTTTTACTGACATTTATAACTGCAAATTGATGTTTTTACACAGATTAAACATACGTAATTTAACACCAGGGCCGAGCTAACGGGCTGCCGGGGGTAGCTTCGTGTCGAGCAAACAGACACGAGACGTTTCAATCAAAAGACAATCTATCAAGTAAAATTTGTCCCTCTGATCTTTTCCAGTTGTGGATCCTTCCCAGTCTGGTGGGCGGGTCTGTGCTGCACTTCCTGTCCGTGGACCAATGGCAACGCCTGGCTGCCTGGCTCTACGGGAGCGGCCTCACCGGCCTGTTTGTCACCTCGACACTCTTCCACACCGCCGCCTGGAAAATCAGCCACCTCCGGTCCGTGTGTGTGTGTGTGTGTGTGTGTGTGCGTGCGTGCGTGTTGCAGAACAACACTAGCAGGGATTTTGCAGATGTGCACTCGTGTGCTTAGTTTGTTAATTAAAACCGAGCCAGAAGGCAAACGACAGATGTGGCGCAGTAGTCAAAATACTCCACACCTTCAACTCACACCCTCTAAAAGTAGCACACACAAATTGAGAGGCACATTATGTAACTAAGAATGTGGGGAACAGATAGGCACTCTTATAAAAAACTCCTCTGTCCATAGCAAACAATCACAGTATGTCGAAGGACAAGGTCACGGGATGTTTGCATCTCTGCATGAGGGTATTTGTCTTCTCAAATGTGACGCAAACTTCAGTTCCTCAGTAACTCAATCATGTGTGTGTGTTTTCTTTTTGTTGACTTTGCCCTGCAGAGTTATAGATTGTGATATTTAAATAATGTCTGGATGTAGAAATGAGCTCTGCCCGCCTTGGTGCTTGCTTGTACAGGAAGGTGGAGCAGCGTTTCCACATGTGCGACAGAATGGCCATCTACTTCTTCATCGCCGCCTCCTTCTCTCCCTGGTGGGTGACAAGGGACACACACATTCCGTGAGCATAACGCCCCCCCGCCCCCCACCCGGCTCAGACAGTGAGTGTCCTGCTGTGCCCCGTCAGGTTGATGCTGAGGGAGCTGGGCCCCTGGACGTGCCACATGCGCTGGCTGATCTGGGTCATGGCCGTTGTGGGATCCACGTACGTCTTCTTCTTCCACGAGAGGTAACGCGTCCCGCCTTCGTGTCCCGCCTTCGCGTCCCTCCTTCGTGTCCCTCTGTGTCCCCGGCGTGAGGCCATTGACCTGAGACCAAACACTGGGCTGCTGCTTTGAGGCAGAAACGATTTCACAGGAGATCCCAGGTTTTTTTTTTTTTTCACGTCCTGTGTTTTCCACCTGCAGGTACAAGCTGGTTGAGTTGTTTGGATACGTGGCCATGGGGGTGCTTCCTGCTCTGGTCATCCTGTCTATGGTAAGGACAGAACACAAACCTTCGTTTGAGAGGAAGAGAAATAAAAAATAAAAAGCTGTCTTCCGCTGCTGCAGGCTTCCTGCTATTGTGCTGGAATCAGTCAGTATTTAAAGAAGCAAACAGGTGGTTTGTTTGAGTCCAACACCGTCGAATCACATCTAGTCACTGTAACATAACAGCACATGCAAGTATATGTTGTGGATTCCCTTCCTCCCATGCATGATATTTTATTATTATGTGTAATTATGTGATAATTACATTATAAAAATGATTCGTATTATCTACAAATCCAATGAATAGACAAAAAACAATCAATCATTATTCTGTCTCTACTTTACTTCCATGTCTGTGGTTCTCCTTTGAATGTGTAAATCTTGAATGGATCAGAAATCAATCAAAAAGCTAATTTACTAAAGATGAAGGTGCTCTGGTTGCAAACGCCTTTGAAAACATACTATTTTCTACAGCAGAGTAATTTACATTTCGACAAAACAATTCTGTGTTCTTTTGAAAACAGTTTGACAAAGAATTAACTATTTCAGATGTCTGGGTTAAAACCTGCAACACCTTTGACATTTCCAGACCCCGAACCCTCTTCTTCTTCTCCTCTCTCTTGTAATACAACGCTGCTGTAATAGCAATAGTGAAGCACCGTTAGACTACTTTAACCTCTGTATTCCTTATTCCACCTATTCTTAACTCTTCACGCGTGTGACTCTTTGCACCGTTACAGGTGGAGCGTGCGGGCGTGTGTGAACTGGCGCTGGGAGGGGTCTTCTATGTGGTGGGCGCGGTCTTCTTTAAGAGCGACGGCGTGGTCCCTTTCGCCCACGCCATCTGGCATCTCTTCGTCGCAGCGGGAGCGAGCGTTCATTATTACGCCATCTGGAGGTACCTGTACTTACCTGGGCCGCTGCTGCAGACATCGAGGTGACAAGCCGCTCTCGCCTGAGGCTGCACGCCGCGTGACTGACCGAGAAAAGTCACTAAGTCACCGGGCTGTGTTTTGAAAACAAATAAGCTGACCCTTGAGGCCACACCTGGATGGACGGCGCTGACGCAATCCGACCGACGGATGGAGATCAAATGAAAATCTTCCACTGTTGGTGCCAAAACCCTGGGACCAAACACCGCTACCGTCGGACTAAAAGTCACTTCAACATGCTGATTGTAGAGCAGCAAACATACACTTGTTCCGTTAGAAGGATAGTTAAGACAATGTGCTCACACGGAAAACAAATAAGCTCAAAGGATGTCAAACTATTCCTTTAATCAGTCATCTCAGTAACAGATCTGACAATCTACAGTCCGTCATCACACCTACTGAACCCTTTACATTACATTGGTGCCAACTCACACATTTTAAAGATGTTGTCGATTTTGCACAGCGGCTTTTGGTATGAAGTATGAAAATAGTTGTTGATTGTTACAACACGCAGCACCTTTGAGAAAACCAGTGTCATAAAAGCTGTACACTGGCCCTTTAAGTTAAGATGACAAATTACTTTGGTGATGTTTTCTGCATCACGTCAACTGCACCTTAATTGGTAATTACTTCATTTAGTCAATCATCTGCCAATGAATAGTTTGAACAGCTTGTAATTTAGACTCACTTTGTTTGAAAGATGAAAACACTAATTTAAAGCCAGCCCTCCCTAACCTCTAGTGGTTAAACGCTTTCTGTTTTTGCAGAAATATAGAACACTTACTCAGGAAGTGAGCTTTTTTTCTTTTTGTTTTTATAAATCAAAGATGATCTATTTTTAAAAATTGTATTTTCACTGAATTAAAGAAAAGACTCTAATACAGGGAAGTCTGTGTTTTGTGGTTGTCAAAAGGGTTTCATCACAAAGAAGAAAAAAAATCAAATCATGTCCATTTATTAACAACATTTCAAAATTCATACCAGATTCATCATCATGTCCATTTCATGAGGGAATTGTCAATGAGTGGTCTCAACGTCAGGGTTCTTGTGATGTGTGTGTGTGTGTGTGTCACTGGGAGTGTGTGAGGTTGGTGAGGGCACGCAGTTGCAGGGGCATGGCCACGTTGGTGTCTCCGTGCCACTGGGGTGTGGTGACCGGTTGAGGCGGGGTCAGGACGCTCTGAGCCACACCGGGAGCCTTCAGCAGCGACCACAACTCCTCACCTCGAGTTACTATGGCAACGAGGTCCTCTTCATCCGAGCACCAGGCAACTGGCCCCCCTCTGGTTACCGTTCTGAGCTTGGAGAGGAACAGAGACACCCTGAAATAGGAAGAAAAAAAAAAACATTTAAATGACATTACATCTGTCTGTATGGATAAAAAAAATATATATTTAAAAAATGCACATGTATGGTTGTCACCTGGGTATGAGGTCATGCGATCGTGACGCCAGCTTAGCCAGCGCGCTCATCAGGGAGGTGACGACCCTTGGGACGGGGCAATCTGCTCCGGGTGGGGGGGCAGATGAAGTGATCTCAAACAGCACCGCCTCCAACGTCTCAAAACAGGAAGTGATGAGCATCACGGAGCAGCGGGAGTCACACGACCCTGAGAGGTACTCTCCCAGCACCCACACCTGAAAGAAGCAAGATCCACGTGATCTCTGTGTTCTTCTACCATATTCCGATCTGCTGGGAAGGAGCTCGAGGTTTGAACAAGACCACAAAGCGCATAAGTATGATCCCTAAGTCAGCAGGGCCACCCTGTCTCATGCAGACACACATAGACACCAGTATCATTACCACGTGCGTGTAGATTTCCTCTTTGCTGTAGACATTGGCTGTGGCCCCAGCGAACTCCAGCAGCTCGTGAGACTGGTCCACTACCAGGGACGGGTGGAGCTTGCACAACAACAGCAGGTGCCTGCTGAACACCCTGAGAGAGAGAGAGAGAGAGAGAGAGAGAGAGAGAGATCAGCTGAAGAAATGAGTTAACACTTTAGCTGTACTGAGTAAACTTTAGTGTACCTGTGTATCTCTTTATTGTATTTCGGGATGTTGAGGAGGAGGCTGCTTCTCTCCAGCATCACTTGAACCAAGTGAGCTAAAAGCTTCTGATCAGCTATCTACGCACACAGAAGATGTTTTTTAAGAGCGCAAACTAAGCATCCATCCTAAGGATTTGAGTGAGCGGTAGCTGCAGTTGTTAATGTATTGGATGTGTAATCTGTTCACCGCAATGACTGTGTTGAAAAAAATGTGCAACAGCACAGGGACGGTCTGGGCACACTGAACGACCCTCGGCCAATCAGCGGTCTCAGTGAGCATCTCATGCAGCGTGCTCAGTCGGTCAATTGTGTCACCTGTGGGCCGAGAAAGAACAGACCAACATTACCAGCAGCTTTCCCACATCGAGATTTAAAATATACAAGTTAAATCACATAGCGGCTACATTGGATTCATGCAATCTATTATTATTATACATATATTATATTCTACATGCATTTTCTCCATGTTTCAAAAAAACGCTGTCCATTAAAAGGATAGTTAACATGGTTAAGGTAACAACATCTGCACCTGAAAAGATGATTAATTAACATGAATTACCTGAGCCTGCCTCCCCTCGAAGCAGGAAGAGGAAAAGCCCTCGGAAAGATTGACTTCGAAATGCATCGAGTGAGAGGAGGCCACGCCCACCCGGCTCAGAGATGGGCAAACAAGTGGACCTGCCGCGTGCAGCGCGCACACACAGGGCAAAGAACGGTGGTTAAAAAAAGAGAACATAGTCAAACCAGGCTGTTGGGCAGATTAGAGTATTTGGACAGTTCTGCTCTGATGTGCTGCTGCACCTGACTTGCAACACCAGCGTGGCCGAGAGACAGGGCAGGTCCAGCAGAGTGTGGAGAAGCTCCACCGCCGTCCCAGCTGTCACCAGAGAAGGAAGCAGATCCACAAAGTCATCCACCACCGCCGGGCTGTTCCACGCCAAGAACTACAGGAACAGACGTACGCTTGTGAATCCCTCACGTGGTGGAACATGACGGAAGGTATGTGTGGAGTATGCAACGGTCAAACAGATCTCCTTCTCTCTGTGCGGATGCGTTTTCGCAGCTTTTTACCTTCAGCAGGTTTGGGAAGGAGCGGGAGTACTGTGGGACTCGGAGCTGCAGGCTCTCCAGGTTCAGCCGAATGAAGCGTAGGAACTCGTGCGCCAGGAACTGGTGGTCAAACAGCTCGGCGGGGAATCGCCCAAAAACTAGATTCCACACACTCTCGCAATCCACAGCGGCCATTTCTCCTGGAAAGGTTCAAGTCCAATTCAGATAGTCGTCAGTGAGTCGAGCTACTGAAATGTCAATGTGAAAGAACTCGTCTTCTGCGCGGGTCCCTATTGGTGTGATCCTACGTGCACACACACCGTGGTTGAGGTAGAACTGAGCTATGGGCAGCAGGACTCTGGCAAACGACAGGTCGGAGCTGAGCCGACCAAAGAGCGCCTTGATGCACGGAAACGCTCGGAAGACCAGCGCGGCGTCCTCCCCACACACACTGTCGAGGATACACACCGCCTCCACCAGACACTAACAGAGGAAACAGGACAGACGCAGCAAAGATATTTTTCTGCGCCCATCATACTTCAAGAAGCCTCATCTTTTTAGACAATATTTCACACGATGGCTTTCTGCTCACGTATAAATTAGATTAATTTGAGTTGAGCCGTTACGTGTGTAGTTATGCACTGAATTTCCGAAAGCACAAAAGAGGACAGAAGAGAGACACTACAGACTTGTACACCACTGACTGATATTATTGCTTATGTACCGGAAGGGAGATGAATACGCAAAACTATTTACGCACAGACTCACCGCTTTCTGCAGGTCTGTATCCGTCTTTTTGTGTGCCTCTGAGACATAAAGAAGAATAATCACACCTGTTCACACTGAATAAGGTATATTGTGTAAAGTGCAATGTAAAAAGAATACAAAACCCGGATTTAGAACTACTCAAACTACTTTTCTCCCCCACACACACAACACAGTTTGGCGGCTGCACGCTCACTGCGATCGCTCTGTTCGATGAGGCGTTGGCAGTACTGGAAAGCCTTCTCTCGAAGACGCTCCTTTGGAGGCAGCAGTCGGCTGGAGGAAGACGTCGCTGAAACCATGGAAACCACCGATCCGTCCACCTCCGACCGGTCATCTGCAAGGCGGGAGATTAGGAGCGAGAGGTCGCGACTCAAAACCTTCTGAGAGAAGCGGCGATGTATCATGAGCACATTCTGCATGACGTATTATCAAACTGCTTGTTGTCGAATGTGAACGTAGAAGAGGAGTTAGGATGATTCCAAAGTCTAGGAGTAAAAATGAAGATTGCAACGATGCCTTGATTTTACAGAACTAAATGATTCAGTCAAGAGGCAACAGGGATATAGTGACAACTTTTGTAATATAACCAGAAACCTTGTTTGTTGTTCAAAAACTTCACCAGGCTCCTTTACACTTAAAGCTTCCTGTTGAGGTTTAGATCACAGATAATTAGAAAAGGTTTCAAGGCAGCTGGGTTAAAGTAGTACAAGTTAGACATATATTTGGATACGCTGTGGTTTGATTAAAATATGCTTGAAGATTGAAGACCAAGAAAACATCGGTGTTGAGAGACAACAATCCAACTGATTCCTGAAGGCAAATATATGTTCAGTGTAGGAATGCGAACGAGCATCTGAATGTGGCCACTGGAGGAGAAGTTTATTAGTCATTCATTAACGAGATCCAAGATCAGAAACTCACCAGGAGATTAAAGGAAGGATAGAAGGCGCACTGGTAGTTAAGTCACAGATCCAGTTTGTTAGTTTGTCGGGAGTTGACCCCTCGAGGTTAAAAGCGGTCAGCTGATTTGCAGCTTCTTGGAAGAACGCGCATGCAGGGAAAGTCCACGAACCTGGCATGTCTTACCATTAGAAAAGGAGTGGGAGAGGGAGAGGGAGAGGCTGAGCTGCAGCCTGTTTGCTGGAGACGATGGAAACACAGAGTCGAGTGATACAAATGGTGCTTTTAGACCGATGTTCCCTGTAGGTTCTCTGTAGCTATGACACAAGGCAATGAGCCTGTAGCAGCAGGAGAAGAGAAGGTTGCGTTTTTTATTGGTGGGGAGGTCATACCAGTGTCAGCTGTTGTGTTGCCATTGGAAACAGAGCGGTAGGTGATGAGCCAATGGCGAAGCATGGAGAAGGAGTAGACGTTCATCCACTGGTCCTCAGTGAAGCTCTGTCCCACACACAGCACAGTGAAGAAATCCCCTGAGACCGTCCCGTCCAGCTCTGCTATCGGTACCGGCTGATAGAAAACACCAAAACAAAGACAATAGAAAGCACAAAGAAATGTCTATAAATTCTCCACTGTTTACATATGCTTCAAGAGTTGAAAGCATAGCATATGAATGTGGATTGATTACCTGACGGGACCGGGTCCCTGTGAAGAACCCTCCTGAGGGAGCACCGCCTCCCTGCGTGATGCTGGCATAACGCAACCAATCCACAAGCTTTTTACTCATAAGGGTCACGTGATCTGCAAGTCGAGTGGAGTGAAGGACAAATGATGCTAATTTACGTGCATGGGGAATTTGATTGATCACCAATGTGATTTTATCTGAACTTTGGCCCCACTCGGTCTGTTACCTTCAGTGAGGCAGTCTGGGCTGTGTGTGAGAACGGTGTTGAGGATCGGCAGGGTGTGTGTGAGCGACGCGGCGGGCCCGTCTGACTGTCGGCTTTCCAAACTGCGGAGGAGCTGAGCGCAGAGTGATGACAGATCAGCCCTGGATCCGGCCTGTTGGGGTTTAAGTTTGCAGGACAGTGTTTAGGTCATCTGAAAAATAAAACAAGCTGCTTTATGTGTTAATGTGTCACTGTGTACTGAACCCAGAAACACTAACAGAGTCTTTGTTTCACTGCATCCAAAGGATTTTTTCCTAAGATGATGTTCCACACATACCATGTGTGAAGCCTCTTGGGATCATATATGTTCCTCAAAATAAACCTGGTTTAAGCCCAAAAAGGAAAAAAAGACATGCATTACTGCCCACCTGTGAGAGCACCAGGGCAGCAGCATGATTGTTCAGCTGAATGAAGTTCTCCTGGGTGTAGTTTCCTTCCTGGCCGGAGAGGGGCAGTGTTTCTCTGAGCACAGCGGAGCTCAGCACCTGAAACTGCTCCGCTGGAGACGCGAGGAGGGATTGAAGGCTCCCCTGGAGCTCCGGGGGCAACCTGTGGCCGTTGGCATGGCAACAGAGGACACGCGCAAAGGTTATGCGGCGGATCGGGGAGGGGAGGGGAGGAGAGCGCACGGCGGGTACCGGAGGGAGCTCTTACGTCCTGGTGTACTTGGTGGCGGAGAGTATGATGTGCAGCCTCTGCAGGGAGTCGACAGCCTCGTGGCCGAGCTCCTTCCCCTGGAGCAGCTTGACTAGTCTGCTGTGAAACCTCTGCAGCTCCGGCTCCTGGATCTCTCTGCAGATGACACACAGAAAGCACCTGGCTTGGTCCTGCGAGAAGGATCGCTGAAATATTTCACCACCTAATTATTGACACATTAATCGTCTCCACATTTTAAACATTAATCAAAGCCTTTCGTCGTTTAATTATACAAAGTAACACACAAACCCCATTTTGTAGCCTTTAACTGTGACACGGAGGCAGCATTTCTAGACAGTAAATGAACGTTACCTTAAATTAAAAAAGAAAAACGCTTCTGAAATAATTGTCATTCGTTCTACTGGCGGCTAACAGCTGGTAAAGTGACGCAAAATGAACGAAAACGTTACAGGTTGAAGTTATACAACGCTTTGTTTGTTATTTATAACAACTCAAAGTGGTGTTTTGACAGGCTATCTAGGGTTAGCTTAGTAGAGGCAATGCTAACTCAAAGTTACTAACGTTAGAGGAGCTGAAGGTGGCGGAGGAAGTTATCCGTTTATTCGTTTTTCTTACCTTGCCTGGTTAATTAAACTTTCCGAACCGTGAGAGTACATTGTGAGAGAAACCCTGCATCCCTCTGCTAGCTCTGTGCTACGAAGGTAAACAGTGCGCCCGCTAATGATGTCCTGACTGAGTCACATGACCGCCACTTTAGTTCCGCTTTCACTGAGGAAGTAATGAAGGTCCAACTGGTAACTCAACCATGCTTAATATATGATACGACATAAACCACAGCGTATGATTTATTTGGGGTAACAGACGGGTTACTTTCACTTTATTTAAGTAAAGTTTCTTCACATTTTTCTCACAGTCTTTCTCTTTTTTCTTCAAAAAGTTTAATTGTGTTCAGTGATACACGTGCATTTTTACTGTTGTACGAATTAAGTTCATCCTGAGGAACAAAGAAACAAAAGCCGGTGTTTCGCAGCAGGTGGCTTTAGTTTGTACGGGAGGAATAATAATTTAAAGGTGTTCTCCCTCAACTCGATTTTTAAGTTAGAAAAATATATATTTACATGCATTTAGTCCCTCTCCTCCTACTCACAAAGCCGGCAATCACCTTGACTACATCTTTACTAGAAACTGCTCTACCACTAACCTCTCTGTAACTCCACTTCATGTGTCTGATCACTTCTTCATCTCTTACTCCCTTCCACTCTCTATAACTAACAAACCTCACTCATTGACTAACTCCATACCGGCTCGTCGCAACATTCGCTCCCTCTCTCCCTCCTCGCTGGCATCCTCTGTTCTATCAGCCCTCCCTTCAACTGATTCCTTCTCACTCTTGCACCCGAACGCTGCTGCAGAGACTCTCCACTTAACTCTTTCCTCCTCTCTAGACTCTCTCTGCCCTCTTACGACACGACGGACTGGCAAATCCCCTCCGGCTCCGTGGCTGTCTCAACCGGTCCGTGCCATGAGAGCCACCATGCGAGCGTCGGAAAGGAAATGGCGTAAATATAAACGACCTGAGGACCTGCTTGAATTTCAATCTCTCCTCTCCTCGTTTTCTGCTTCTATCTCTGCTGCCAAAAGCTCCTTCTACCAATCCAAAATCGAATCCTCATTCTCTAACCCCAAAAAACTCTTCTCGATCTTCTCCAATCTCCTCGAACCCCCTACCCCTCCTCCCCCCTCCACCCTTCTTCCGGGAGACTTTGTCAACTACTTCGCCAAGAAAATAGCTGACATACGCTCCTCCTTCTCAAACCCACCTCCTACTTCTCGCGTCCCACTGACCTCACCTCTTTCGCCCTCACTTTCCTCTTTCACCGCCCTCTCTCCTAACCAAATTCTTACCCTAGTAACCTCTGCCCGTCCGACCACCTGCCCTCTTGACCCCATTCCATCACATCTTCTACAATCTATTGCACCTGACCTTCTTCCGTTCCTCACCTGTCTCATCAACAACGCTCTGATATCTGGCTGTTTTCCCAATTCTCTGAAGGAGGCAAGAGTCAACCCTCTCCTGAAGAAACCCACCCTCAACCCTTCTGAAGAAAACAACTACAGACCGGTCTCTCTTCTTCCCTTTTTGTCCAAAACCCTTGAACGTGCTATCTTTAATCAACTCTCCTCTTATCTCCACTGTAACAACCTCCTTGACCCCCACCAGTCAGGTTTCAAGGCAGGCCACTCTACAGAGACTGCTCTCCTTGCTGTCTCTGAGCAACTCCACACTGCTAGAGCCGCCTCTCTCTCCTCTGTCCTCATCCTTCTGGACCTCTCTGCTGCATTTGACACGGTCAACCACCAGATCCTTATTTCCTCCCTTCAGGAACTTGGTGTCACAGGCTCTGCTCTCTCCCTTCTCTCGTCCTACCTCGATGGTCGCACCTACCGGGTAACCTGGCGAGGATCTGTGTCGGAACCTTGTCCTCTTACTACTGGAGTTCCTCAGGGTTCCGTGCTGGGTCTCCTCCTGTTTTCGCTTTACACAAACTCTCTTGGCGCTGTCATTCGCTCGCATGGCTTCTCTTACCACAGCTATGCCGATGACACCCAACTAATTCTCTCCTTTCCTCACTCGGACACCCAGGTGGCGGCTCGGATCTCTGCCTGTCTAACTGACATCTCTCAGTGGATGTCCGCCCACCATCTGAAAATTAACCCCGACAAGACTGAACTACTTCTCTTTCCCGGAAAAGATTCGCTTACCCAGGACCTGACAGTCAACTTTGGGAACTCCGTACTAACGCCCACCTCGACCGCTAAGAACCTCGGCGTCACACTCGACAGCCAACTCTCCCTGACTCCCAACATTGCCGCGACAACGCGATCCTGTAGATACACGCTCTACAACATCAGGAGAATACGTCCCCTTCTCACTCAGAAGGCAGCGCAGGTACTGATTCAGGCTCTTGTCATCTCACGCCTGGACTACTGCAACTCCCTCCTGGCTGGTCTCCCTGCCACCGCCATTCGACCTCTGCAGCTCATTCAGAATGTAGCAGCTCGACTGGTCTTCAACCTTCCGAAATTCTCCCACACTACTCCACTCCTCCGCTCTCTTCACTGGCTACCGGTGGCCGCCCGCATCCAGTTCAAAACATTGGTGCTCACGTACCATGCTGTGAATGGATCGGGTCCAGCTTACATCCAGGACATGGTCAAACCCTACATCCCAGCCCGCACTCTCCGCTCTGCATCTGCAAAACTACTCGTCCCTCCCTCACTGAGAGCAAAACACTCGACTAGGTCTGGACTCTTCGCTGTCCTTGCGCCGAAATGGTGGAACGAGCTCTCTGAAGACACCAGGACCGCAGAGAGCCTTCACATCTTCCGCCGCAAACTAAAGACACACCTCTTCAGACTCTACCTCGACTAAAGACTAACAAATTGTAGCACTTAAATTGTACTTGTAACGTCACTCATCTATAGCAAATTGTAAATTGGCTTATTTGAGGAAATTGCACTTTCTTGTTTCTTGTTCTCCTGAGTTTGTACCCTATGGTTGAATGCACTTATTGTACGTCGCTTTGGATAAAAGCGTCAGCTAAATGACATGTAATGTAATGTAATTTAGGCAATTCCAATTGATCCGTATATACTCCCGAAATTCTACATTTCCTAATATAGCACATACCCACTGTAATCGCCTTACACAATCCACGTACTTCAATTAAAGGAATTCTCCACTTCAGAAAATAATCCAATTTTTATGTATTTTTCTTACTAAATAATACTAATGCTAATCCTATTAAAAAAAACCTTCAGAAGTCCGATACTGACAATGTCCTTTAAGTAAAGGTAAGTGACATGCCTAAATATCTCGATTACATTGAATTTAAAGTACATATAATCATATAAAAAATGCCCCACAGCCTAATATTATAGGCTATTTTTTGGTTATTATTATCTTCACAGAAGCATTGATGTAAGCATATAATACATATACAAATCTATAAGAGCCACATATTTTAAAAGATCAACATGTTTTGGTCCGATGGAGTAGACTGAAGTATAATTGTTAGCTTCTTTAGTATAATGAATAGACTAATTCCAGGTTGAAAAGAGCTGACGTTGATCCCAAGGATCTGAATGATTGAACGATGATTGTTTGCTATAAACCTCATCTTCATCCATCAGACCCAGACGCGACCAGCGTGCGACCTGATGACAGTCACGGGTTTACAGAAGCTGAGGTTGAGCTTGTTGGGGGAAAATTGTTGAGCCTGCATAGGGTGAAGCTCTCAAGAATGTGACCTTTTATGTGAGCCTGTGACCTGAGGCAGTCCAGGGTGAGATAAGACACAGATGGAACCATACGTGCCCTGACTGACCTTTTAGATGTTGTTGATTGACCGGGTCCCTTAAGGCAGTGGTCCCCAACCACCGGGCCGCGGACCGGTACCGGGCCGCACCACAGAAAGCTTATATATATTTTTTTTCTGAAAAATGTTTTATTTTGAAAATTGACCGGATTTTCTCCTAATTATGTGCGCTCGTCCCTCTGACATATTTTCTTGTCCTTTTACTGTGCACCGGCAGTTTCGCCGACCAGCGAACACAGAGCTCGCGACTACTACACCCCCCCTCCCCCGTCGGACCTTCTCGACCGGTCCGCAAAGCATTGTCTGACATGAAACCGGTCCGTGAGGTAAAACAGTTTGGGGACCACTGCCTTAAGGGAGGGTCACGGGGTCACCTCTACTTCTACTTCGTCTGGTACTTTTACAAACACTCCTCTTTGAGGGGTGGGCTCTCCTGTGCTGAGGCAGCACAAACCTCCCTGAAGTGTATATAAGCTCCTGTTCTCCTCTTCAACTTGGTCAGATCTTCTTTTCCAGTCGAGGGGTCGCAAGTGCTGATGCTGGTCTTCAGACCCTGGTCCGATACCGATGTGGCCGAAGCAATGAGCCACGTCTACAGTCCAAAGGACAATCTTGCTAAGTGGGAGACGGATCTTCAGCAATTTGTCAGAGAATACCATCCTAGCATGTCAGAGCTGCGCCGTCTGATGTGCAGACCTCTGACACATGACTATTGCTTAAGTGCAGAGTGTGTTGATTGACTGGGTCCCTTAAGGGAGGGTCACGGGGTCACCCCTACTTCGTCTGGTACTTTTCCAAACACTCCTCTTTGAGGGGTGGGCTCTCCTGTGCTGAGGCAGCACAAACCTCCCTGAAGTGTATATAAGCTCCTGTTCTCCTCTTCAACTTGGTCAGATCTTCCTGCTCCTTTTGGGGGAAGGAACCTTCTGCCCCTTTTCAGCTGAATTGTAGTCATTTGACTTCTGTCTGTGCTTACGGCTTGTGCGGATGATTTCTGTATTCTTATCATTTTTCTATATTCTAGTTAGTAATAAATACTTAATCACAAAGCAAGTTTGGGATACTTTTGATTTCTCACCAGGGCTAAATCCACAAATTTCCACCACAGAGCCCTCACCTCTCTGCAGTAGACTTGTTATTTCCATTCAAGTTCACAGCCCGCCCCTTTTTTTCTCTCAGTCTCACTCTCTCTGCCACACAGTTAGTCGGTGCCAGAGTTCGCCACATGTGCTCCTCTCTTATTTTAACAGTCCTCTCACTTTTGAATAAATGGAGGATACCGGAGCCTCTGGGATTAATGGTTAACCAACCCCACAAAAAAACTACAAAACAGCAAAAACGACCTCACGTGGGCCAAGTTTAACTTCCCTTCATCTCTTCGGACAAATCTCCGTGGCATCTGAGGTAGGCAAAACGTCTATACACTAAATATATATGTATGTATAAAATACAGCTCACTTTGGACGCATGTAAGTGCGTGTTGATCGGTTCAGAAATTAGGAAATATACTTTACAAAGTGGCCGACCAGGCTTATAAATGTGCACTGGTTTGACTGAAAAAAAAAAACGAGAAGCTGAGAAGTGAAATTCGCTTCACTGCAGCGGTGACAGCTTTGTGTGTGTGTGTGTGTGCGCGCGTGTGTGCGTGCGTGCGTGGTGATACAATAGCTAAAGTTCTGTCTTCATCAGGCTATTATCTGCCGTCATCTAAATATTTGGGATTCCGACAGCGGATGCAGAAGATAATAGTATCCAGTGAGGAACATGCAGAAGAATAAAAGCTTTTGTGTAGTGCATTGACTCCGATGTGACGGCATTCTGCTTTCTCCTGGGCTTCTTATTAATACCATATCCATTTCAGCTTGTGAACAATGTTTATTAACTTTTCAAATATCACATTATTGCGGCCAAGGCTGTCTTTAAAGAAACATAAAAACAATTATTAAATTATTAAACTACTATTAAACTATAAGCTGACTTTCCAAAAAAGGATAATTACAGCTGTAAAAGTTTGCCTTCAGAAGAGCTTTATGGACAAAACCCACATATCAAATTCTCATATGCGCCGGCTATGTCGCCGGACAATGGAGCCTTTATGACGGAGAGTACACCTGAACCAATCATATCTTCCTATCAGCTCGCTGGCCGGCCAGCCAATCCCAGTGTGGTGCACAACCGGTAAACCAGTAAACCATGCAACATTTGGGTTCACCGAGCTAGCAGCGCTCAAACCTCCATCCCTCTCCACCTGGGGAACATGATCATGCGTGTGCTGCAGGCGTTTGTAACATCCACAGTGGGAGGACAAGCATTCTTTATGGTCCGTACATTTGGTACACTAATTGAAGTGGTGTTGAATTACACCAGGACCGCGACTCACTTACTAGTGGGTCAGTGGGACATTCACTCCCTTCAGTTTGCGTGTCGCGTGTGAGAAAATACATGCGGTCGGAGGAGAGTGCTCCTTCTCTGGAACAACGACGGTCACTTTCTCGGAAAAGTACTTGAAGGCTTTGTAATTCAAATGAAACGGGGAAAAGGACTGATTTACGTGTCATAGCGACTCTTCACTGATCATTTGAGAGCAATAGTAATCCTCATATTAACTGATTCATCAAAACACCCTTTGTTTACAGGTGTATATCCACTTACTCAAGTCAGTGCAAGTTGATTTCCACAAAACCATTAGCGAAATAAATGCTCATTCATCATCAACAGAAAAATAGAAAACCTTTAAATTAACTTTGAATTAAAACATGGAACCAACGACACTGATATGAACTTCTTTGAAGGCCTCGTAAATTATCGTAGCTGCAATAGCATACAAGATAAATATATAATAAGAAAGGAAAAGCAATTCAATACGATTGAAGAGAATTGTTCTGCATGTAACAACTAACACTTGTTGTTACATGCAGATACTCTATAATGCAAGAACCCTGCAAGATGTCTTTTTTGAAAAAAGGGATATAAGGGATATAAACTACATAAGAAACAAATCATTTGTAAAAGCTTTTCATACAGTTATAGCAGGACGTGTATTCGATCCGTCAACTGGCTTGTCTTTTCTTTTTCAGCAGCCATTGATTCTCATTCATTTAATGTTTAAATGCTCAGATAAATTTAATTCCAGAGTGTCGTGCCACCTGATATGCGCTAAAATGAGCACTTTTATGTATTTCATTACATTTTCAGAACATTTAGCTACAAGTTGTTTTTATTCAATATACAGCCAAAATCGCAAATCACAAATTGGCCTCAGAGGGCTTTAAAATCTGTAAACACAACATCTTCTGTCCCGGCACACAGATCCATCAGGATAGAAAGAACAAAGACATTACAAAACAAAGCAATATATGACACAAATGATTCCTATAATGAAGGCAATTGGCATAAACAATGACAGAAAAAATGATGAGCACTAATATCAGCTGAAGTTGATTTGGTAGAAAGAAACTAATAATAAAAGATGTTTTGCCGTCAGTTATATAAAAATAGTAATATGATTGAGAGAGAGAAGAAGTCCCCTCTTTAACGGCAGATCGGGGGGCCGGACCAGGCAAGTATGAGCCGACCTGCATTATCAGAAAGGAAAATCTTCACCTACTCTGAAACGTGTTGAGTCTCTCGCCCCCCGCCCCCGCAGACCCCCTTTTTTGACCGTAATTACAAACTCTCAGACACTTTACGGGAAACAGACTCTTGGCAAATGTCAAATCATTAAGGAAAATGTAATTTACACTTTTACAGTTTCTGCTGTGCACTGCGGTGCTTCAGAGCACATTGAAGAATCCAATGTCCGTCTGCAGCGATGATGCGTTTACAAAAACAGGGTCAGTCAAGTGTTTAGTTTTTCTGAATAGTGTTGGTGGGCTTCTCCACGTCCTTTATTGACCAAATGATGGTCTACAGCACCAAGCACTTCACATCGGGCATGATTATCCACTTTCATTGCAGGGAAACGGTTATTCACAGGGCCAGTGTTGTGAGTTGTAACCCGCTTGTTGTGGCGTGTGAGAGAGAGAGAAACGCAGCAACGCGAAGGTGCTAAACAGTTCAAACACTGAAGAAATGATGGAAACAACCACGTGGCTCTGAGTCACATCACAGTTGTGTTTGTGTGTCTACCTCTGCAGTTGCTGAAAAAAAAGGACAAAGCAAGGTTTAAAATGAGGACACTCGCACGCAGACACACACACACACACACACACACACACATACTGTACACATACACTGGTTTAAAAAAAAACGATAAACTCCCTTGACCACAATACTATAAAGATTAGTGGGCGACTGAGAGGACTAAAGCAGTATAGAGGAAGAGAGCTACTACGCACATCTGGTCTGAAAAGGAGGAAGCAAGGATTCGATTTCTCGGTAATGGTCTCCAAAATAAGAGAAGAGAGAAGAGGAAACACGCGTGTGGTTACCGAAGGAGTCAGTGTGTGTCTGCCTGCGCTGTTCACTTCTGCAATGAGTGCACGAGTGTGTGTTGGTGTGAGCGCTTGTGGTTTCATCATCCGGCGGGACTGTGGCAGCACATGCAGACTACTGCAAAGAGAAATAATAGATTCACGCCTTGATAGGGTGGGATATTTCTGCCTGCTGCAGACTGCATTTGAAAAGCGGCTGATCACTGATGCTGTTCATTGACCATCCGAGGGTCTGAATATTTTAACTTGTCAAGAGAAAGAGAAAGTTGGAGAAATTACACAGAAAATCCGGCGTGTTGAAACTTGTAAGCTGACGGTTCGAATTCATCCTTTCCCAGCAGCATCAGTGTGCATGTCTAAGCACGAGCTTTCACATGCAGGACACACATCAGTGTTTATGTGATTAATGGCATCGGAAGGCTTTTATTTGCCTAACTGTAGGCTGCAAGTCACAAAGGTGGATTGTTGTATAACACCCACTGGGTCTGACGGGATGCAAATCCCAGAGATGCGTGAACAGAATTTGTGTGTTTGTCTGTGAAACGATAAGAGAGGGCACATCCAGTGGGTCGTAATGCGTCTCTGGAAATGTTTTTTTTGATAAGGAGAGGTGGATGGAAAGACGTCAGTAGATTAAAGTTGATGTTGTTGGTCTGGATCTGCTGTGCTACTGTGTATACTTTATCAAGTCTGACATGCTCCCTTTGCGGATCGTTATCAGTGATTGTGTTCTGAGGGGCATGTCAGTCCAGCCTGATCTCCAAAACCTGTTCGTAAAAATGCATACAAAAATCTTGTAAGATACAAATTCGTAGTGATACATACTAAATAAATACGGACTGGCAACTGATGACGTCACCCTATTCAAAGTGAACCCCGTAAACACACTTCGTGAAGTCTAACGATGTAAAATAAACGTGTTCTGATTGCATTTTTAACGAGAAATCAACGTTAAATTGTAAGAATAGAATACTAACCCTGACCCCCTCAAAAAATCCAACATGGCGGAGAGACGTTCACTCAAGGGGCGTGGTTAACCACCGCCAGTTACGAATTTCTATGTCAAATATTTCGTATACATTTTTACGAACAGGTTTTGGAGATCACGTTGTTGTTGTTGTTGTGATCACAAGTTGTCATGAATCAATCAGTCATGAAAAATGCTAATGCTAGTTGATATTAGCTTGTCTGTGTATGACCAATATTGCAGTACAGAAATGACAAACTATGTCTCTTTTTAATAAAGGGTGGCATTGGGTTCATTTTTGTTGTGTGATCATTCTGCTACCAAGGCGCTGCCCCAAACTACCTTGGCACGTCAACGTTGTGCGTCATGCGGCAGTTCCCTAAACCGGCATTCTCCTGAAATAACAAAAAGAAAAATGGTTTATGTCTATGAGGAAATTACTCTCACTTTTTTTTCATTAACCCAGAAAAAATACTTAACATGAGTTCATGATCTCACTAGTTTAAGTCTTTGTGTCACTCTCCAGTTTAAGTCTTTAAGTCACTCTCTAGTTCAAGTCTGGCAAACATGACAAAAGTCTGGTCCCATTTAGGGCGGGGCTACCTCGTGATTGACCTGGTGATTGGGGCCTGAATATTAAACCCTGGGTTGTACTTGGTTACACCCTCCTGTGTCCCTTCTGGTTGTGAAAGGCGATCACATAGACGAACAAAAAACCAAGATGACACCGGCCAAAAGCTGCACCCCACAAACCGGTGGGTGACGTCAGGTTGAGTACGCTGTGGGCTGCTCCTTAATCTTCAATATTACTTACAACAGAGCGTTCACTTTGTCTCCTCTTCCCTTTGGTGGTGTTGGCAGTCCAACTTTAGATTATACATCATAAATCAGTTACACTTCATCCTGAGGGAGACACACTGGAAATCTGTGTTTGGCCACAATCCTTTCAACCGTTGTCTTCCAGCGTAAACCTTGCATAGGTTAATATATGATCGACCTCCAATTCATACTTTTCATTATCAACTTTTAGTATTGCACTAATTAAAACAGCACATTTCAAACCCATTGTCTCTAGTTGTGTGATAACCTAAGCCTTCCCTCAAAGCAGTAAGACAGAAACTATATAAGAAATAGATTAAGGGCCCACAAGTAGACTAAGACATGTCAGCTTGTAGGTCCCCAGAACCGAAAATAAATCACGTTTCTGTTCCTACTTTCTATTCATTTACCTATTTGACCATTTTCGAACGTCTGAAAAGAACACAAATGAGTCTGACAACAACCACAGGAGGCAATTTCTCCACCTGCGGTTGTCGTCAATATTAACACATTTAATGAAGTTTTTCCACTTTTCAGGGGAAAGGGATGGAAAACGGGACACGTGACGATGTGGAGGCGCTGTGGGAGAAGTTGGAGTGCAAACGTTACGAACTGTGTCGCTCCATCTCTCCATCGAAGCTGACCCCCTACCTCCGCCAGTGCAAAGTCCTGGATGAGCAGGATGAGGATGAGATCCTCAACTCCATGCTGCTGGTCTCCAAAACAAACCGCACAAGTAGGTGGGAGAGATGTGGGTGCATGTGGTTGCACCTGCCCTCATCGTGGCATTTCCATCATTCGTGTCTCACCATTGTGTACTGTAATATAATATTATGTATCCTTGTGACCTGCGCGCACTGAAGGTTAGACACGTATGTCTTTCAAGCATGTCCATTGATCTCGCAGGCCGTCTTCTCGACATCCTGCACACTAAAGGAGAGCGCGGGTATGTGGCATTTTTGGAAAGTCTGGAATTTTACTACCCCGAGCTGTACAAGCTTGTCACAGGGAAGGCTCCCACGCGGCGCTTCTCCTCCATCGTAGGTGAGACGCACCTGTGGGTGCAGCCACACACACACACGCACACTTGGATTGCTGTTTTTAAATTTGCCTGCATGATGCAGGGCTGTTTTTGTAGCTCTGCTGAGGGCGGAACACACACATCAATAAGAGACAGACCTTGTACTGCGGGTTTACAGAAGGATTTGACATTTGTCCAAAACCGTTTAGTGATGTCCTGCTTTGCATGTATGCTGGGTAGTTGATGCTTTATATATTACACTCTGTGACGTATATCCTTTCCCCTCTTCTCCTCTCTATCTACCGTCTATTTCCTGATTGCAGTTGAAGAGGGTCACGAGGGTGTGACCCAGTTCCTGATGAACGAAGTGATGAAGCTGCAGCAGCAGTCCAAAGTCAAGACCCTGCAGACGGCCGAGCTAAGCAGGAAGAACTGCACCCTGGAGGACGAGCAGAAGAAGCTGAAGTTGGCCAATCAGGAGCTTCAGGCCTTCCAACAGAGTAAAAATACAAATTAACATGCTCCAGTCATGTCATGCCTCTCTTAAAGTCTTGAATGGCGAGCATTCAATCCAAGAACCTACCACAGTTTATACTGAAACACCTACGCGACCACAATGTCCTGTCTAGCATTTTTCACATTTAATAAATGCTTTAAATAACTGGGCCGGGGGTTGACATGTGGGTTCAACAGCCTTTTGCTGCAGGCTGAGATGAGAAAGAGGCAGTTGGCATGACATTGTTACTGCAAAATTCCTCGTAGTATCCAATAACACGAAACAAATCCATCCTTGCTGAAGCAAATGTCTGTTATGTTAAACGACGGCACTGTTACCACCTAACAGCCCTGGACACCACACTCGTGTTTTAAATAGACGACTACGCTCGGTTCTCCAGGGTACAATAAGCTGAAAGAAGAGAGGAACTCCTACAGTGACGAGCTGCTGCGGGTAAAGGATGAGAACTACAAACTGGCCATGAGGTATGCCACGCTGAGTGAGGAGAAGAACATGGCGGTGATGAGGAGCAGAGACCTGCAGCTGGAGGTACTGATGGACACCTGCATGAAAACATTGTCTTTACATGATGCCTTTGCAAAATGATGATTAATGCTAAAACTGAAAGAGTGGCTGGGTCATGCAGTAGTCACTCTGCTCACGGCCTTTATCCATATCTCACTATTGATTCATGCTCATCTCGTGCACCTTATAGGTTGATCAGCTGAAACACAGGCTGAACAAGTTAGAGGAGGAGTGCAAGATGGAGAGGAGGCAGAGTCTCAAACTGAAGAACGACATCGAGAACCGGCCAAAGAGAGAGCAGATCCATGAGCTGGAAAGAGAGAATGAAATGCTCAAGATCAAGCTGCAGGACCTACAGGCCATCATACAGGTATGGCCTGCCATGCCCACGCACACACACACACTATTGATAAGCAATAGAAATGGTGATCCAGTGTGGAAGGCACCCTGCAGAGCACCTCACTTGAGAGGTCTCTTTAGCTCCACGATGTCGGATGCATATTAGCAGGCAGCCAGTTACACACAGTGTTTCTTTATCCACAGCCTGGTCCACTACCTGCATCAGACAAGGCCATCCTTGACATTTTAGAACATGACAGGCAGGAAGCACTGGAAGACAGACAGGATCTGGTCAATCGCCTCTACAACCTCCACGAAGAAGTCCGACAGGCGGAGGAGCTGCGAGATAAGGTAACAAATAGATAAGCAGTGGTGGAGTAAGTTCAGCCAAATAATTAAGAAAACATAATGATAAACTCTGTAAACACATTGCAATGTTAGACATACGATCTGTCCAGCTACTTTGACATGTGCAAATGTGCGTGTGTTAAAAGGTCTTTGATTAGAAGCCCGTTGTCGCAGATACCTGCTGGCAGTTTCACTAAAGACCAACTTCCCGTTTTATTTCTTTCTACTATCTTAAAATAACAGCATCAAAATTTCAAGATAAAATCAAACACGGGACAGAACAAAACAAATTTAAATACACTTCTAGATGTTTTTTCTTTTGGTTTTCCCTGTCTCAATAACAATATTTATCCCTTATAACCCATCAGATTGGGTAACAGATTGGAGAGTTTGTCCGTATGGGAACCAGAGGACCAAAAAATGCAGTTCTTGAAACTGTTGTCAGGGCGACCGGCTACAACAGCAAAATATTAACATTATTTACGTAATCACTAGGGACATTTCACTGCAGAAAAATAAAGTTTTGACTTGCTTACCCCCAGGGGAAAGCAATTTGCAAGAGATCTCCGTTGCTTGTTCTACTCTGTATTTGAGTGTAAGATGGTTTCTGAAGGTGTTGGCAGAGTCGGAAGCAGGTAACAAACACACCCTGGGAACTCAACCGTCGTCTCAGGTGCCTTTGTGTCTCTATTCCTGTATCTGCCTTTGTCTAATAAACTGTGTGTGTGCAGTACTTGGAGGAGAAGGAGGATCTGGAGCTCAAGTCCTCCACGCTGCAAAAAGACTGTGAGATGTATCGTAACCGCATGGACACCATCACATCCCAGCTGGAGGAGGTGGAGAAGGAGAGGGACCAGGTGAACACACATAAGGACACAGAGTGAGCCGGACTGTTGAGTTGTTGTTGTGTTGTAACTCTACCCCCCGCGGCTGCAGGCGTTCCGTGGCAGAGACGAGGCCCAGCACCAAGTCTCCCAGAGTCTCATCGACAAAGACAAATATCGCAAGCAGATCAGAGAGCTGGAAGAGAAGAGCGATGAACTCCACATCGAGATTGTTCGCAAAGAAGCCAAGCTGGTCACCTTGGAGTCTCGACTGCGACGGATCTCTAAGGACATCCTTTTGGACTCGGTTAGACACATTAGAAAAATAAATGCTGCCAGGGCATCTCCAATGTCTAATTTTGGAAAAGAAATTGCCAACAAACCTTGTCTCTGTTTTTGCAGACTTTGCCAAGGGACCTGCCTGAGAGAAGGTGCTCTCAAGTGGTGGACGATAAACCCCTCCAGGACCAACTGGAATGGTCCAGCGACGAGTCGCCGGGGGAGAAGTTCCCTTCTGATGAGCCGCGCCTCAGACGCAGACCGAACCTCAAAGCCGTGGTGAGCTGCTGCTCACGCCTGAACACCTGATCGATCACCTGTTTGAACAGCCAATACTCGTAGATTACACTACAGCTCCAATATTGTTCTTTTGACTCAACGTCACATTTTTACCGATAATTTATATTATATTCTTCAGGAATAGATTTAATTTGAATACAAAATAAAAATCAGAACTGGTGCTGTACATGGAGGGAAAGAAACTGGAAGCAAAATGTGAACTTAACTACAGCAGGAAATGCATTCTGGAGCCGATGTGCAGTTGAAAGCACACGAGAAGCCTTGACTGAGTGGTTTGTAACAGTAGCTTACGTGTTTTTTGTGTTGTAGTTCAAAGGCTCAAAGTCTCCGGTCTGTGGAGTCAAAGAGGTCCCCTCAGAGCCCGCTCAGTCTGCTGGTAACGCCCCATCATAAAGTTCATTCAGATGTCATCTTCCGCCGCCACGGCGGCATTTATTTTGTGCAACTTTGTCCACATTTGTCTCCGACCCCGACAGTCAACAGCGGAGATTTTCTGGAAATCCAGAAGCGGAACTCGCACGTCAACAGCAACTCCCTCCCTCCCTCCCCCAGCATAATGACGTCCCCCACATATTCCCCCTTCTCGACTCACCCCCTCTCCTCCTCACAACATCACTTAAGTATGGCGGACCAGTCCAACAGGCAGAACATGGTGAGATTTTAACATTGCTCTAGTTCAGAGCAAAGAAATGATGCAGTATTGTGTCCGGAAAAGTCAATATCGGATTGATTTTCTCCATAAGAGCCAGATAGAAGTTATATGGTTGAGTATATATTTTGAACTTCTACTTTGTTCACATATCTCCAGCTGCGTTCCCGTTGCAGCATGCTGTCCATAGTGGCTGAGCCGCCGGAGCAAGCGTCGCTCTACCGCCGGGAGAGGGAGAAGGACTCCGACTTCCACCTTCGAAGGTCAGTCGCAGCCCCACGCCAGATATATACAGTATATATATATATATATATATATATATATATACCTGTCACTTAATCTGTTCTACTGAATTATTAAAGACTAGTTTCATCCATTTTTTATGAATCTGGGTTGGTATGTTTTTCATTTTCATTTTGACGTAAATGTTCTCTTTCAGCGTCTCGGACTTTGATAGCGACAACATGGAGATGGAGTTTGGTAAAGTGTAGTTTTAACCTTCATCACAGACGTGTTCCTAAACTCAATCAGAATTTCCATCCCCTGTCTACAGTTTAAAAAAAAAAATCTCTTGTCTGTCCAATCCTCAGAGGACGAAGTGCATCGCGGTACACCTTCTGTCCACTCATCTTCCTCGTCCCACCACTCAGAAGGGATGGACAGTTACGAGCTGGAGCAGGTCAACAGCATCTTCAGGAAACTCTCTCTGGAACGGTACAGATAGACAGACTCACTTTATTTTTTATCTTCTTGTTTATTTGTATGTACGAATAACAAAGTGAAAACCGGAGACAAGTCGAGCGCGCTCATATGCTCTGTGGGCCTGTGGACAGGCCTTTCCGCCCGTCTCTGTCCTCCTTCTCCAGGAGCAGCGGTTCCCTGAAGCCGGTGCAGGAGCTTTCGTTGCTCGGGGACAACCTCCTGAGGGACATCACTCTGGTTGGCGGGAACGAAAGCGGGATTTTCATATCAGCCGTCCAGCCTTGCTCCATCGCGGAGAAGGCGGGGCTTCGGGAGGGCCACCACCTCCTCCTGGTGTGTAGCTTTCTCACTGGTCCAGGTCCGCACCAGGCTGTATAATGAGTGATAGCTCAATTAGTGTAGAATTAAATCCACTGGCTGCATTAATGAACAGTTTGACAAACGCGCATGAACAAAGCTTTGAGTTTTTAAAGGTTCTATTACCTTGTTTCCTCATCCAATGACTGTTATCTGTAGTGAGGGAATAAGTTGCCAAGTACCCAAACACCGAAAATATGATTGCTTTAATTAGTCTTCTATTGTGATTTTGTGACCAGCTGGAAGGTTGCATACGTGACGAGAACCAAAGCATTTCATTGGATACCAGCACTCAGGAAGAAGCCTACTGGACGCTGCAGCACTGCTCCGGACCGGTCAAGCTGCACTATCGAGCCAACTTTGACTGTAAGTCTTGATTGTGTTGTACCGGTGTGCATGCGTTTGTGTAGTACACGTATGCTCTGCATGTGAACACAAAGGCGTGCACGTGTGCGCTCTAGCTTACCGCCGGCTGCAGAGGGACCTAGCGGAAGGCCCACTGGTTTCTGGCGACTCCTTCTACATACGGGTCAACCTCAACATCTCCGGCCAATTAGACTGCTGCTCTCTGAGCGTGCACTGCGACGAGGTCGTGCACGTGCTGGACACCAGGCACCAGGGCCGCAACGAGTGGCTGTGCGCCCGCGTCAACCCGTACAACGGCTCGGACCTGGCTGAGCGGGGAACCATACCAAGCAACTCAAGGTATACAGGGGTTAGAACCAAAGAACATTCTGACATCGGGGGGGGGTGGAGCTTTTTGTCTCGCGTGGGGGCAAATTTAAATGGCGGAAGTAACAGAGTGTCATGCATCTGTTTTCCAAGCGTGATACAAAAGTGCTGAAACAGTTGAGCAAACATGCAAAGTTAAGCGAGAGAGGGTGGGGGGTTCTTTAGGTGTCTACATCTGCTTTCAGAATGTAGACTGATCCTCCCAACGCAGTGGCAACACCCAGCTACACACACACACACACTCACACACACACACACACACGCACAAAGACACACACAGGAGAGTTACACAGCAGAGTGTAAAGAAATGATGGAAACATCCACGTGGCTCTGATGCACCACTGCGTAGTTTGTGGGTTTAACTCTGCAGTTGCTGAAAAAAAGGTAAAAAGCAAGATATAGCGTGGCGACTCTCTCTCTCACACACACACACACACACACACACACGTCTTCATTTCATACACACTTGAGCCCCACAACCTGTCACCAAGAAGCACAGGAAGCTGCTTTATTGATTGTTTTACATTTTTTCTTATTTGTATCAGAAATGTGAGTTTGTGAATCTTGTGTTTGTGTGTGTGTGTGTGTGTGTGTGTGTGTGTGTGTGGACTTAGGGCCCAGCAGCTGCTCCTAGTAAAGATACAGAAGTTAGTATCTCGGGGGGGGAAAGAAGAGAATGAGATCAACCGCAGCAGGGTAAGAAACTTGCTGAACTATTTTCTCCCTTTCAGGAAAGTAAAAAAGGAATATAATTATAATCATAACATATGTTTGAGGCACAATCCCTTTCTGTTATAACTCGTATAGAAGTTTTACTCTTTCCAACTAAGTCAGGATTGTGTAACGCTTCAGTAAAACGCGTCTTTGTGTGATAAATCATGTCTGTGTGCTTGCGTAGAACCATTTACAGCCAGAAGAAGTCGGCTCGTCTCCTGATCCTAAATCCAGCCCACGCATGTCTAGAGCCAGCGTCTTCCTCACCCAGATACTACAGGTGATGAAGACTGTTGTACAGCGAGGCTTTAGTCTCCACCTGGATTTATTGTTATCATTAAAGTAACCTCGCAAACTTTATTTTTGAAACGCTGAACGCCTGCACACGTTGTTTCGCTCTGTTGCGGCTTGTAGTTTGTCGGCAGGGTGGACATCAAGTACAAGCGAATGAACAGCAACGAGCGCGTCAGGATCATCAACTCAGTACCCAGACAAGGGTTTGAAGCTTTGAGGCCAGAAGGTGAGTACAAGGGTCAAAACTCCCCATGAGCCACACGAGGTTTAAAGTCAACGTTTCCAGATTAGATAACTGCACAAATTAACTGAAAGACAATGTCAGTTGCGTAAGCCTCAAAAGCAGTACATCGGAATATGGATTGTTTGTGCTGTTTGTCATGTTAATGTTCAAAAACCTGACAGCGGAAATAGAGTGAAAGGTCGGCTGAGTTACAAGAAGTGAAGGTTGAAATATAAGAGTAAAGATGAAAGCCGTTGAATTGTAAACGATGTAAAGGTCTTTGAAAAGGGCTGAAACCTCCGTCGCATTGGTAGCGCTGAAGTGTGTCCACGTGTTGAAATGTACGAACGCAACACGACCCTCTCGTGTGTATCGCCACGCATGGCTCCAAAACAGACGCCGCTGATCCGGACAACGAGCTGAGCCGGAGCCTGAACCTGATTCCCTACAGCACCGTCACCCTGCAGCGGGCGCAGAGGAGGAGGCCCGTCCTCTTCACCCCGGCTGCTCTAGCCGCCACCATTATCCAGAAGATACTCAACATGGGGGGAGCCATGGACTTCGACATCTGCAAGCCAGGTCCGTGTGACGGGGGCCGGATGGGGGGCGGGGGGCTCGCGCGACGGAGGCGTCAGACACAGAGCTGAACACCCGGCGAGCCCAGAGACTGCGTGATGTCTCGTTTAAGGGGCAGAAAACCCCCTCAAGTGAAAACGTTTCTGTTCCTTCGGCATTAAATGATCTATTTGGCCGATGATCATTAACAAACAAAACAGTTTCTGCCCATTTCCTTTTTTAAATGTATTATTTATCTTCTCTCCGCGCTGTTGTATTTGCCTGTGATCCGTTCCATCGTTCAGACACGCTGTCCAAAGAAGAGTTTCATCTGAAACAGAACGTGGAGCCGTTCATTCACTACAAAGAGAAACACACCATATTTGAATGCATCACCCGAGAAAACATAGAGGCTGTCGCTTCCAAGGTAAGCAGCAACTGTTATTATTAGAACGTTGAAGCATTTATCTGCTTTCGTCTCAATGCATAACTGACTATTTTAGCCGGTTAGCTTAGCATAAAGATTGGGAACAGCAACAAAGAACTAGCTTGTTGCGCTCCAGAGATGTTTTCAATTATATTGAATTCAATAAATTGTTTAATAAATTGTTTGCTCTGGCTTACCCGAGTTCCCCTGGTCCTTATGCTAAGCTAAGCTAGCCAACTGCTGGCTTTTGCTTCATTTTCACTGAGCAGATAGAAACAATCTAAAGCTGTTGTTTTTTTTTGTGTTGAACTCGTTGAAAAAAAAGTGACGATTTAATTGAATCACTTTCATTTGTATGCTGTTCGAAACACCACTTTGTTCCTTTTCTTAATCATCAATGCAGAATGCCTGCTGAAGGAAGGTTTTAGTTGTGTGCACATCTGTGTGTTTCATCATGTAACCATGTGTTGGCGTTTCGCGATAACGATCTCCGTTCATCTTTGAAGCTTTTTCTTTCCACGCGTCACCAGGGCAAACACTGTCTCCTCGAGGCCGAGCTGAGCTGCGTCAAAGACCTTCTGCGGCGAGAAATCTACCCGATCATCGTCCACGTCAAGATCTGCGAGAGGAATGCGAAGAAGCTACGGTACCTCACTTACACTCACACGTTCACCCACAGCTGCAAACCACGAGCCTTTTTCCAAAGGCCGAAGCGTCTATCCTGCACGAGGGTCTTGCTCTCAGATGGAACCAATATTATAAATTTATTGGGGAGTCTTATGTGTACCAGATTATTTGAGGATCTGTATATTGGTTAAACAATTTTAGAAACCAATGAAAAGATGAAGGCAGCCATTTTGGGGCTCGGGTGATCTCGTTCTTGTCCTCGGTCAAAATCCAGGCCGCAGCGTTTTAAATTAACTGTGAAAAATACTTTTCACAGGGACGATTAAAAAGAAAGTTACAATAATCTGAGTGAAAAGGAGTAAAAAGTGGAATTTAAACGGTTTATTGTCAGACTTTCTGAGAATTAAAACAAAGACCACGAGCCGCTGTTGCAAAGTGTCAACATGATCACTTGCAGTGGGCTCCAGACGCCACGCTCACCACCGACGCGCTGCTTCCTTCCTGTTTCCTGTCCACACAGGAAGCTGCCGGTGCGCGTGGAGTCGGAGGAGGAGTTTGTGAAGTTGTGTCGGGCGAAATCAAAGGAGCTGGAGGGAATTCCCTGCCTCTACGCCAGCGTGGAGCCCGAGGCCTGGGCAGGGACGGACGACCTCATCAGGGTGGTCAAAGAGCGGATACAGGAGGAGCAGAAGAAGACGGTGTGGGTGGAGCAGGACCTCCTGTAGACACGCGGATGCACAACGCGCACACACGTGCTGCTGAGCTCCACAAACACTCTGCTGCATATTTATGCTGAATCTCACAGATGCTCTGGTGGACACTCGCACTGCTGAAGGCTTAAGATGACCTGCATTATACATTTTGTAAATGGGTGTGTTTAACTTTTGATATAGGTGAATAAACAGATGGAAAACGACAAGAGGAGACCTTTGGAGCATTTAGAGGGAAGGCGTTCAAAAATCACTTGTGCGAGCAGTCATTTCAATTTCCGTGTGATCTGACTTCACCTGATTACATCGTCCTCTTGTGGCGGCTGTCAGGCTTTGACACGGTAAAGGTTTAAGTCAAAAAGGATTATATCACATCAGTCTTTTATTTATTTTTTATGACATTTCTTTGTTGCAAATCTGTTGCGGCGCTTCTTCTAAAAACATTCCATAAATAGGAATATTACATAAACCGCCGCTATACAAATATAATACAGCTGAATGTGTATATTATAGAGAACGCGTCAAGGTTTACGCAGGAAAAGCTTGACATGGCCTAGTTATTACTTGTGTTGCGCAAATATCTATTATACTCAGTTTTATTTTAAGTAGGCTCATCATTAACACCCTTAGACTGTGAGTTACTTCCTGTAAAAACACTATTTTATTTAGTGATATTTACCATGAATAAGTAAACATGCACGTTTGTTGATTTCTGCAGCACATAAATCTGTGTGGAGACAGAAGCTTATTTTTTTATTTTTGAGGCCACCAGCCGTTCTGATTTGAGAAAAACAAGCAGAGGAGATTTAGAGTAACCTATATTTCATAAGGGGGGGCCGGATAATCTCCTCTTCTGAGAGGAAAGAGACACACATCCAGCACCATAAAACCATCATATCAGAAACCAAACTCACACTCTCCCTTAAGTCAGTACTGCATCTTTGCTCCATGTAGTGTCATACCAAAGCTAATATTTATTCTACGTTGACTGTAGGCAGCTCACCCATTCGTGTGGTTAAATGTAATCAAAAGTGATGAAATATACAAAAGTATAATAAACATCACGAAAAGTCAGATGATTGTGTACACATGATATACACGTCATGATATAAGTCTGTCGGTGCTTGGAAATGATGTCGATCATAACCCTTCATCCTATTGAGAATAGTTATGGATCTGTTATGGTGTGTGTGTGTGTGTGTGTGTGTGTGTGTGTGTGTGTGTGTGTGTGTCATTAGAATGACTGCCGCATTACAAATGTATACTGAGCATATTAATGAGAGCACAGCGCTGCGCGTAAAATCAGCAGTGAGTGGAGGTGAACTGTGTGACGCTGATTGAAAGCAGATGTGTGGGCGCGCGTGTGTGTGTGTGTGTCTCGGGGCTCCGTTCCTATGTTTGATGTCACAGGATGAAAAGAGTTCACAAATAACACGATTTTAGACTCATCAGAGGCAACAGAAATAGACACAGATCCCCCACCGCCACGTCTCCTCCTCCTCGTTCTTTCGGGCTTAATTCCTCAGATGATGACATTTGCTTTTGCAGGTACAGCAGGTTATTCTCGGCACACGTGGGGGGGGGGCTGTCTACATGAATCATCCCTGAGCAAAGAACCATGTTGTGCTGGATCTGACCCAGAAAGAGAAAAAAAGTGAAACATTTCCCCCTCATGAGCTCACTCTGCAGAAACTTCCAACTACGAACTCTCGCGGTGCTTTGCGTGTTCGCGCTCCATCTTTCTTCAGGACAGAGGAAAGAAAAAGAAGAAGCGGACTCGCATCACGGGTTCAGCTGACGCGACGCACGGAGATCACGGCCACTCCGACCAGAGGTGAGACGTGTCGTTTTCTTCACGTTACGAACTATAATTGTAGGAAGCGACGCGCCGCGTCTCCGCTCGGCGGTAACGACGCCGCTTCTCAGCTGGACGCGCTGCGTTGGACACGGACACACACGCACGCACACACGCACACACACGCCGCCGTGGTCCCGCTGATAGCGCGTCTGTTGATACAATACATTGATATTGTTTTTGTCCCCTCGCTGCTCTGCGTTGTCTCCAATGTGGCCTTCGAGGGCTTCTCGCGGCGCGTCGCAAGGGACCCGTGGAGCCGCGCGCCCGACGGGAACAGCCCCGTTCCGGGGCGCTGCTCCCCCGTCAAAGGCGACATTGTGTCCGGTCCGGAGGCTGCTGCTGCGGACAGGACGGTGTGATTTACTCCCCGTCCCTCCCCCTATAACCCCTCCCTGCCCCCTGCTCCCCCCGCGGCGGTCGGGTCAGCAGAGCGGGCTGCGGGTTAGACAGCAGCCCGCTGATGTGCACTACAGCGCGGAGGCTTGTTGACTTGTTGACGCGATGCTGCGTAAAAGTCCCCAAATATATGAACGAAAATAAAAGTCGTGGAAGTGTAGCGATCTATTGCTTCAAACTATGAGGCAGACGGGTGGAGGGAGTAGACGGGTGGAGGAAACAGGCGGGTGGGTGAGGGGTCAGCTGCATTTAAACGCGTCCTCGTTAAAGGTGCTTTCAGCAAAACGGAATATCGCAAGTGTTTGATGTGCAAACGTGGCCTCGGTATTATAATGATAATATATTATTCATATTACTGCTATAGATCATCAAATGTCTGTATTTGAATTTCAATCAATGCATCACAGTCTTTAAAACCCTCATTTATCTTGCAAAGTGTTGCTGTCCTATTGAAGTCGAGTAAAATTACTACAATAATGTAGATTTGATTTTACATTCTCTTTTTCCTGCTGTTATCGGGATTCAATTTCCACATCCCACCGCAGACAGAACCTCTTGAATGTGTCCTCCACCCTGCTACGCCTGATTTAATATACTTTTATGGGGCAGCCGTTGCCTCCCCGGCGTGCAGAGAGGAAGAGGAGTGTAGCCGGCCGCCTCTGGAGAGGCTGATGATGATTTTCCGAGTCAATGGTCCCCTCTCAGCTCCAGGAAAGAAGAAATAATGCGATGACTGCTGCAGGAGAGCTACACAGAAGAGTGTCGGAGCACCGGAGATTAAAAAAAAAAAGGGGGGGGAATTAGGAAACATGCATCACGATGGAGATGTAAGGCCATCTCTCTCTATGAAGAGAGATGGCCTTACCATGTCTTTCCACACATGGAACATATCTCCTTGGTGAGGCGTGTAAACTGGCTGCAATTGGCCCTCTTTCTTTCAAAGGCTGCTAAACATTGAGGCTTTTCTTATACTTCAGGGGTGTTCGGTGTTTAGAAGGTGCCGATGCTGTAGCATAATGCACAGGAAGCCCAGATATGGGTACAGCAGGATACTTGTCCAATGCAAAAGTTATTACTCTGCGGTATGCGGAGCCTCGGGCGTGCACACATTTGACGACTTCTTGTGATTTTTCCTGCAGGGAGTTAAGTCAACGCAGAGGGCCGAGGGAGAAATGCACTAAAAGAAACTGAAGCCAATAAACGGTCAGACTTGATCTTACTGCTCTATTGTGAAAGAAAACCAAGCTCATATACAATCTTTTTTTTTAGTGTTAAAAATCTGAGAAGCACATGGAATTTGATTTAGCATCGCTTAAAGGGTATATCAGTTTCCTATTCTGCTTAACGTGTTCCTTGGTTTGTCATTTTATGTGTATTTGATCTCTCCATTTAAAAGGAGTGACGTCCGCTCTAGAGTGTTTTTGTCGTTGAAATGCTAGCGAGTGATGAAACAAGGAACCAGATGTGCGAGAAGCGCTGAGCGTGTAACGGTGGTTTTCTCTGTGTCTCTGTCTGCAGGCTGCAGAGGTGCGACCTTATTTACGGCTGGTCAGTTGCGCTCGCGAGGAGCACATTCCTGCGGCACGGCGGCATCACGATGAGCCCACCAGCCTCTGCTGTAGTTCCAGTTCTTCTACCTGTTTATCGCCGTGGGGAGAGATAGCTCATGGACCTGGATTCTGTTGCCATGGTGACCTTGTAGCAACGCGCCCTATGACTCCAATCTGTTGCGCCGTTGATCAAATTAAAAAAGACCCAGGTAAGTGTTCCAATCTGCTGCCGTGGTGATGCTGTAGAGACTTTTCCAGTCAGCCAGTTGCTATGGTGTTTCTGTAGCGAGCAGCAGTCACTATGGGAACGTCCAGGATGTTCCGTATCTTCGTGGTCCTGGGCTCGGCCTTCATGATCCTCCTCATCATCATCTACTGGGACGACGTCGGAGCCTCCCGCCTGTACTTGCACACCCCCGTCTCGCCGGGCCCCAAAATCCCGCACCCCGCCCCTCCTCGCCCTCAGCGGCCCCAAACCTCGCGGACGCCGTCCTTCCTGTCCGACATCGACGCTTTCGTCAACCAGTTCCTGGAGCCGGGAACCGGCGAGCCCACGGACCCCGCCCCCGCCGACACAGGCAACCAATCGGAGAAAGCTGAGGAGCGGTACGTCCCGCGGCGGGAGTGGAAGATCCACCTCACTCCACTGGCAGCCGAGCTGCGGGAGAGACAGGTCAGCATCATTTTGCTTCAGTCGTACTGGTGGCGCTCAATGTTTCTTCAGGAAAGAAAGAAAAAGAAAGAAAAGCGCAAGTATAAATAACAGGGTTCATTATTAATATTGAAGTCTGCCGGGGAGCGAGCTGCATGCTGGCTCACATCATTTGGAACTAAACTGAAATGTTGTTTCCTATATTGATGACAGTGCAATTCTGGTTTTCGTGCCATAAGTATTAAACAATGTCATGCCGTATACTTTTAGATGGATGAACTTGTTTTTAACTGCATATGTATACGTAAGCTAAATTCTCCACTTCCAAATGTCTTTAAACGCGAGCAGACTTGCAGAAACCTGCAAGGAGCTTTAGAAGACGAGTGGCCAGGGTCTGTACACGGAAGAGTGAAGGCTTCTGGGCTTCGGTGTCTCCTTCACGTTCCCTTACTGTGAAGCGCTAACGGTGAGCGTGTCCGTGCCGTAGGAGCAGCGGCGGCGGTTACTCCAGGAGATGTGCGCTAACGACAGCCTGGTGTTTCCTGGCAAAAACCGCTCCTTCGACGACATTCCCAACAGGGAGCTGGATCACCTGATCGTGGACGACAGGCATGGCGTCATCTACTGCTACGTCCCCAAGGTAGGCCAACCCGCCCAAACCTACACGCTGGTGATGCACTATTCAGAGTACTGACTGGACAGCACCACCCTCTTATCTCAGGTGGCGTGCACCAACTGGAAGCGCATCATGATAGTCCTCAGTGAAAGCATGCTGCGGGACGGCGTCCCACAGAGGGACCCGCTGGCCGTCCCCAGGGACCTGGTCCACAACAGCAGCATGCACTTCACCTTCAACAAGTTCTGGAAACGTTACGGCAAGTTCGCCCGGCACCTGATGAAGGTCTGTTCAAACACTCTACCCCGATGTGTCCTCTGTGGTCTCTCTCCTGGTTTAAACAGCTGTGTAAATGACTTTCCATTGTGTCGGTTTAAACGAATAATGAAAATGATATGCTGTGTGTGTGTTTTTTTTTTGTCAAAGGTCAAGCTGAAGAAATACACCAAGTTCATTTTCGTGCGGGGACCCCTTTGGTGCGCCTCATCTCCGCCTACCGGGAATAAAATTCGAGCTGCGCAAACGAGGACGTTCTATCGGGCGCTACGCCCAGGGTCATGGCTGCGCCGCTACGCCAACAAGCTGATGCCTCCCGCCTGTGTGGACGAGGCGTTAGGCGTGGGCGTCCACCCCACCTTCTCCAACTTCATCCAGTACCTCCTGGACCCGCAGACGGAGAAGGAGATGCCCTTCAACGAGCACTGGCGCCAGGTGTACCGCCTCTGCCACCCGTGCCAGATTCAGTACGACTTCGTGGGCCACCTGGAGACGGCGGAGGAGGACGCCGAGCACCTCCTGCGCCAGCTGCGCGTGGACAACGTGGTGGAGTTCCCCACCTCCCACAGGAACCTCACGGCCAGCACCTGGGAGTCCGATTGGTTCGGCTCGGTGTCGGCCGAGGCTCGGAGAGAACTCTACAAGCTGTACGAGCCCGACTTCAGGCTCTTTGGCTACGACAGACCGGACTCCATCCTCAACGAGTGACCGGCATTCTACCGGACCCACCACACACACACACACACACACACACACACACGTTCTCCATGGTATAATGCTCCCCTTGTTCTGGGGTTTGCAGGTGTTTGCTCCGGTCTTGTGTGTGTGTGTGTGTGTCCTACACTGAGCGTGCACATCGTTGGGGACACTCGCTGTTTTTAAAGAAGCACACAGCAATGAGGTGAATCCCGGCTAACAGCCATTATCAATCGTTGTTTTCCCCTCATGAATCACAGAGATAACGATAAGCACACGGTGGGGTAGCCGGCGTACGGATCGTGCAAGCGGTGCGTGTCCCCGAGCGTGTCCTACGCTCAGTGTAGTCCTTAACCCCCCACCCACCCCCGTCGAGGCCCCTCTCCCGCCGCTGATGTCACGTGACGTGAGCCGCCGTGTGACGATCACGCAGGCTTTGTAGCAGGACGCCAAGGTGATGTCACAGAGCCGTACCCCGCGTGTTCGTGATGTCATGGAAGCCAACACATATGCAATGGACAGGGAGACGTGTGGCGACTAGGGAAAACAAGGTGTTACGAGATTAGCTTTTAGATTGTCAGTATTTCACATCGTGAATGTGCAAACGTCAAGGCGGAGGACGAAAGGGACTTTTAAGGTGAAAGAAGACGAATGATGACATCAGACATGGGAGGAGTGCTTTTATACCTAACACGCAGCTTAAACCGATCATATGTTACGCAAGACCGTTGCGGTTTCAGAGCGGAGGAGTCCATTTGGTTACATTCCCAGGAGCATTGCAGACAACGCGTTCGCAGCGAGCTCCATTTGACCAGCGTGAAGTCGTCCCCCCCTCCGCCCCCCCGTGTGGAAGCACAGCCTTTCCAGTGGACCTAAAGGCCGCACAGCTGGCTTTGTCTCAGCTCGCCTCTCAGGCAGAACACCTTGTTTTTTCCACATTCTTTTCATTTCATCTGCACAAAGGTGAGCTTCTGTGCGTTCACACCGGGACCCAGGGATCGTTATCTTTTAATGCTTGTTGTGTTGCCATGGCGCTGCCATCATAAGCATTTGATCGCACACGAGCTGCAGTTATTAACGGTGACCTACATCGGGTTACCCTGGAGACTGCGGCGGGGCGGTGTCACGGGCAGCACTTTCACAGGATGTTGGCGCGAGGAGCTGTGCACATCATGGGAAGCCAACACAGGTTGTTTTCTTGTTTCTTCTTCTTGTATTGGCAGTGAAAATCCATCACTCCACAAGTGAGGTTGTTGCCAGTAATTAATGGAGGTGGTCCGGATCAATCGTGGTTCCGGCGTGGATTGGGCTGCATCTTTTATATGAGAAGAGGGGGAAGGTCAGACAGTGCCTTTTGGTTGCAAAAGTTTACACAGCAAAAAAAAAAAAAAAAAAGTATTTTTGTAGGAGGACTTTTACTTTGTGAAAGGTATATTTGATATACTGGGCCTTGTTCATCTCGTGTCGTTATTCTTTGGAAAGAATAGGAAACAGCAGAGCCCTTCGTGGGGATTCTGCCTCTCGTCTGCACTCGTGTCCAGTGGTTTGCTTTCTTTGTGTGTCCTTCAACGCGGGTTCACTGTGTGGTTTGTACTGTAAGTGATTTATTCTGTGAGTCACACCTTCTGCCTTCTGGGTTATTCGTTTTGTAAAAGTACGGGGCGTTTTTGGCCCGTGAATGTCTGGGTCGGGTGTTCTGGATAGATGGCATTCATTCGGAATCAATAAGTGGTTTTCTGCGATCGTCGTGTGGTGCGTTGGTTTTTTTCCCATGTAGATCTAAATGTTCACACAGAAAAGCAGGTAGATGCTTAGAGCAAAAACAAAGGAACAGTCATCCCACCCTCCCTCCTCACCAGTGTTTGTTTTTATATCTCTTTTGTATTTTTGTTATGCTCTTTTGTCGTGTTTTTTCGTTTCACCGGCTTCATCTGAGAACTTTTGTTCTCCGCTGTATTTTCTGTAAAAGGGCAAACAGCAACATCAGAAGATGAATCATAGTGTAAGGGAAAAGAAAACGGTTTATTCATTAGCAGAATAAAACCTGAATACGTGCTGCTTCTGAAGTGGGTGTTAATAGATCTTTATGAAGATTGGTTTGACTGATGGTGTTTTGTTTTTGTTTTTTTTGGGCAGCGATCTGCCGCTTCAACAGCACTGATGCTGTTAAACAGCTTAAATGTCTGTTGACCTACCTAAATAACTTAATTATTCATGTTTTTGTTAAACATTTATTAATATTTCATGAAGTCACAAGAGTTGTTGTCTGACAAACCTGCTCCCTCTCTCATGAATAAGGGGAAATGCAAAGTGTTCATTCAGACTCATCAGTGTAATGATGTCACCCATCATCTGCTCTTTGTACAAGAGAAATAAAGGTTTTGGGGCATGATGAATACGTATTGGTCTCTCTCAAATTCAGCCTGATATATTGACTGTATACATTTAAAATGAGATAATATTGGCACAAGGATGTCGTTTAAAGTAACCAGTTATATTATTGTCTCGGTACCAAGAAGCGGAATTGTCCCTTCGTGCAGCAAGGAACGACATGAAGGAAATGTGGAAACAGAAAACTGCAGCCGCAAAAATGTAAACAGGAAATGTGGACAATTTCATTAAAATCAGGAAACCTGCGGATGTTTATGCCTGAAATGTGAACCCCCTTTAATGTGCATAGTGTTTCACGTGCAAAACACCAAACCGCTGTCACCAGAAACCTGCAAGGATCAAAGGAAACCCGGTCAAAAGCAACGAGCACTGGGAGAAGAACCAGTTAATTACTGAAAACCACACATCTGTATTAAAACCTTCATTACGACGCATTCTGGGGGCAGTTCAGACGAGATGTGCAGCATGGGTGTGACTCTCTTACCGGGCCCCTCCACCCTGTGGAGACGGCCCCCGTCCGGGTCTATTTTCTGCCTGTCGAACTCAAACAAACATCCTCAACCACCAGACGAGAGCAAATGAAAACACATCAAACAAACTGTAAAGAAGTGTTGACTGACTGACCGGCAGGAAAACAGCATCAGAGCAACCAGATCAGCGAAGCAAAGACTTCACATAAACAGAAAGACACACTGTCCATTTAGACTTATTTTTGGAGTCATTTACTGAAAGTTGGGTTGAAATGAGAGCAAATCATCCCTCCAGTGGTTACAGTGAGGAACTGCATTCAATATGTGAGTGAAACATTGTTAATATAAACAATACACATTAGTGTTGAAACCAATTAGTGGGAGTACTACAATTGAGTATTATTAACATAGTATTATAAAATTGGAATACTGGAATGAATGCCTTTATAGTATTCATGTTAGTACCTAACTAATATGAGTGTATTAATGTCAGGTATTTGTGTCAACTTACATGAGTCTATTTACTATAATTAGCTTTATATTGCAGTTGGGCTTCCAGTTTATCTTCACTCACATGATACTACGATAAAGAGAGAGGGAGAAAAACCTTCAAGTTAAAGCAAAACATAGCTCAGTTAATAAAAAATAAATCTATGTGCATCCGATACATATTTCAGTACGTGTAGTTCAGTTAGTATCGTGTTCTAGCACCACATATGAAACTCAACTACAGTCCACATTGTTCTGTTACTGAGAGGTTTTCTCCCCATAATCCCCACCGAATGTTTATGAAATTAAGAAGCCCAATTTGGGATCGCAAACAGAAACTTACACATTTCTGAAAAGCATTAGTTAGGTCCAATGACCTCGTATGTCGATCCCGGTCCTCTGGTAACCCTTTTGTCCGTGGAACGAGCTGAACCTCTACTTTAATCTAAATATAGAATATAGAAACTACTTTTCATCGGATTGCATTTTGCTGCCACGTCAGTCCGCTCCCCCCCTCAGTTCCCCCCCTGGCTGCCGGTGATGATGTACCCATTGAACGTGATGTAGACGTCCACGTCGTCGCTGTAGATCGCATTCTCCCTCTCCCTCTTGTACAGGCGGATCCACACCTCGTCCTTGAGCTCCAGGCGCAGCATGAGGCTCTGACTCTGCATGATGGAGCGGTCGCTGGGCTGCGCGTACACGATGGCTTGCTCGCGCTCGGTGTGCATGATGTGCAGGTACGTCTCCTTGAAGTTCCACGTGTGGATGTTGACGTTGAAGAAGTAGATCCCCGGGACCCGGCACAGGAACTTCCCGTCGAACATGTTGAAGTGGTCGTCGAGATTGACGAAGACCGTGTCGAACACCAGCGCCTGGTAGGACTCCACGCTGTGCAGGGATTTGCGGCGGCCGACGGAGAAGGCGGAGTGCTGGACTTTGCAGGCGTCTCCTGGGAGTCCCGCCTGGCCCTTGGAGCCCTTCGAGCCCATGGGACCTCTGGAGCCCGGGAGGCCTTCAGGTCCAGCTTTACCTGAGGTTCCCCTGTCGCCGCGTTCACCTTTGTCACCTGCACAGAGCGATGTTGGTCACACGACCGGCATGAATAAAAAGCCACGTTATCTCCCCTGGTTTAGGTAAAACCAAGATGAACATGTCGAGGACGGCCACTAAATTCCAATCAAAAAGGATCCGTTTCAGCTACTTGTACAAGTATACTCGACGAACGCCGATGGAGAAAGTACCTTTGAGGATGGTCATGTTGATGTAGGTGCGGACCTCCGGCACGTGGTTGAACCCCCGTGTGGGCGGCTGGTCTCCGCTGCCCTCTGCCGGCTCCAAGTGATCACAGCAGCGCCTGCAGCGGACAGCGTGGACGTTGGGAGGACGCACCAGGGCCACCAATGAGCCGAGGGACAGGAGGGTGAAGACACCCAACATGGCTGTGCCTACAAGCAAAAAGGAAAACTTCAACTGATTGGAGTTTTTTTTTTTTTTATAGCTCTGAATTCATTTCTGCTGGTGGATCTGGACCCGCTGTAAATGTCTGGCATTGTTTAGCAGCGTGATGTTAACCGTGTTTACCTTCTTGTATGTCAGCACACTGGCATTTAGCTGACACAGAACAGCTGAAGCTCGATCATATAAACAGATAACATAGTAAATATAAACACTCTTCAGTCCATCACAGCCATAGTTTTGTACGTTTCACAGAAAGAATTGAACAGTGAATTGAGCGGGCAGCGGAGACATTTCAAATAACTGGTTGACAAATATAAGGATTTAAAAACAAAATGAATCGTCTGGGAAGTCATTCCCTGAGAGGTAGAAAGATTAAAAAAAGGAATAAAACTTTCATCCTGAGCCAGAAAAAAACTCTTAAGAGTCAGGAATTGAGGTCCAAAAAAGCAGTCTTACAACTAAATAATCCAACAGGAGGATTACTGCTCTCATACGTCCTCAGAGCTGATTCTCAGGGGTCAGAACATGCCTCAAACACTCACTAATGCGCTTATCATCCAAATCCCAGCGGCAAAGGAAATGTCAAAATGTCAAAATAGTGGGAGCTGGCACGGCTACACGGATCATCAATCACGCGGAACGCTCTCCGGCACGTATCCGTCACAGTCAGCGCAGGAGCTTTCCTCACACAGACGGCCGAGCGGAGCAGTTCTCAATGGAACGGTGACGGCTCCCTGCCAGTGTAGAGTAAGTAGAACAGTGTGTGCTGTGTGGTGTTTATACGGCACAGCTGCATCCAGACCGACCGCGGACACAAAAGACCACAAACACAAACACTCTACCTGTTCAAAAAACTCTTTTTCTGTCGCAGTTTTGCTGCGGCCGACAGGCCCCTTGTATTTTTACCGTCTCCCTCGCAGTGGAATCATGGGAGTTTAGCAAAGGGTAGTTGTGCTCTGTGAGCTACCGGTTTGTTAGGTGCATATTTTGTACAATTAAAATCGTTTTCATTTAGGCTAAAAGATGCACAACAATACAACTATTAAGGATGATATGTAAAAAGCGGGGGTGGAAAAGTAGCATGCAGGGGCCGTTTGTGAGGAGGGGCCACAAAGACAAGGCTGTGACCGGATTATTGACATTTCAATAAATATACATACAAATACACACATTTGATTGTGGGAAAAGAACGTTTCCGGCTGTTGAACAATCAATGGTTCAACAACAACTGTAACGAAGGCAGAAAAGAGACACCTCGTCCCACCAGTGAGCCACCTGAACAAAGCCCGTCCGGCTGTACGCTGGGACGAGTCCCCCACTGGCTGACTCTGACATCCCACCGGTCACTTGCTTTCTCACTGCACACGTCACTTTCTGTTCGCTGGTGCACTTTATTTTTTAATTTTGAAATATTTTTAACTTTAACTTTCATTCCTTTATTTTTAAACTAACACATAGCATTATTTTTTTATTTTATTCCTCGAGCGCTGTTGTCTGGTCGTCCATTGTCGTAATGTCTGCTGTTACGCACCAACCGCCAAGTCAAATTCCTTGTATGTCTGATATATTACGGCAATAAATGTTTCCTGATCCTTCCTGATAGAAAGATGGTTAAGTGGTGCTGCACCTCTAGACTGCCGTTTGTACATTTCACACAGGAGAACACGCTGTGTGTTATTATGTGACATTGAATGGAAATGTTACGCGATGCTGGCAGCCGGAACGGCCGCTGACTCATGGTGATCATCAGCAAAAATAGATGTTCCAACGGTCAGAACAAATGTGTTTTTGTTTAAATAAATGTCAGGGTTTCAGTTTGGGCACATTTTGACACCGTAGGACGGGGAGGCGCCCACGGAGAATGCAGGGAGAGGGAGCACAATAGTGTCCTACGCCCCGGAGAACAAGTAATGAGACACAAAGAGACTAAATGACAGTGAAGACACATAAAACAAGAGATGGACAACTAGGCGCAACTTAACGGATAGAAAGATCCAACACAAGTACAGAGGAATGAACCTCGTAGCTGCGTCGCTTGTGTTTCTTCTTCCAGGCCCCCGGGGGCCTCAGACTACAACTCATGGGGCCCTCTGTCGTCCATGCAGGGCCCTTCGCTCTCCCAGAACCCGGTTTGTGGTGCTGATGGATCCGTCCACATGTATCTCGCTGTTTGTTTAACCTTACAGTGCTTTCGATCCAAAATGTTGTTGTTGGCGCTCGTGGAGTTTATGGAGTTCACATTCATCTTGCAGTGGAAATGTGAAGCTCGTGCCAAGATTGCTGGGCTTTCCAGACTGACATGTGGGCACATTGCATGACTGGTTTTCTTGGAAATCTCCAAATGAAAAAAAAAAGCCTTAAAAAAAAGCTGGATTCTCATAACGTTACATTGAGAAAATCCGTTGTGTAAGCAGCTGTTGCCTAACTTAGTTTCCCGCTTGCTCTCTCTGATCTCTCCTGGTTCTCTAACCTCCTGGACGCACGAGTGACCCCAGCAACAAATCCACCACTTTCCCCGAAGACACCGCACGAGAATCCACATGTTACACCAACATCCCGCGGCTTTACTAAAGGTGTTTTCTCTTTGTGCGCTCGTCCAGCCCCGCGCGCCTCCGCTGGAGAGCAAACGGACGCGCGCATCCACACTCACTCCCGTCGTCAAACGTCCCCGTCCCGCGCGCGCGCACACACACAGACACACACTCACCGGGGACATTAATCTGAAGGAACCTCACCTCGTTCACGTCTCAGCAGCCGCTTCAGTCCGCCGCAGAGTCAGAGTCCTGAGTCGGCCGCTCTCTCCCTCCCTCCCTCCCTCCCTCCTCTCTCTCTCTCCCTCCTCTCTCCCTCCTCTCTCTCTCTCCCCTCCTCTCTCCCTCCTCTCTCTCTCCCTCCTCTCTCTCTCTCCCTCCTCTCTCCCTCCTCTCTCTCTCTCCCTCCTCTCTCCCTCCTCTCTCTCTCTCTCTCCCCCCGGGTGCGTGTGAGATGCGCCCCGTGGATCCCTCCTCGCTCCACGCAGACTGAGGCAACAAGTGTCTGCCCACTCAGCCTGACGGACGCGTTACGGCCCGTAAAGGAGGTTTGTGGTGACCTTGAAATGACGATGGGAAACTGATGGTGCTGTTAAAGATGGTGAGTGTTGCGTTACATCAACCGGGTGGTGCCCAGAAGCTCCAGACCACCCTCCAGGCTTTAAGGACAAAGCCTAGTAAAGTAAAATGATGGTTACCCCCCTCCTCCCTCCCCCCTTCTCCCCCTGGGACCGCATTTCCTCTGTGCCGAATTCCTCCATATCAGCTGCGGCCTCAAATTGCAGAGAGAGAGGGAGGGAGAGAAAGAGGGAGGGAGGGAGGGGGGCTGCAATATATATTTCCAGACCTGAAGTATGACCAATGTTCCGCTCCGGGCTTCATTTGGAGAGACGCGTGCATATGTAAGAAGGATGCACGGTGAGAGAAAGTCTGGAACAGAAACTGCATCCAAGGAAATGTGAGATATGAGAATGCGTCTCTGGGCCTCGGGGCGGGTGTGTGTGTGTTGCGTGTGTGTTGCGTGTGCGTTGCGTGTGCGTTGCAGGATGCAGTGAATCTCTCACAGAGGCACCAGAGTAATCCACGTGATCCCACATACGCTGCAGATGTAAACATCCGTCACGCCGCTTCTTAGAGGCCGAAAAGACAAAGTGTTTGATGTAGATCTCACATGATTAGAAGTGAAGATGAATTTGTTAGACTCGCTAACACGTGGCTCCATGGACGCCCTCCGTGACCCTCTATCAACGCGCTGAGGTTCTGCACCTTTTTATCTTGCTGTGGAATTTCTTAGGCCGACCGAAACAGCCAGAAACTCCCAACTGGTTTGGCTTGTGGCCAAATAGTTTAGACCAAATACACTCATTTGTTTTCTTGCTCACAAATACAAATACTGACATCTCAGCATAAAGGGTCAAAACAACAACGCAACAATACAACACGTCTCACGTGCAGAGACCCGCTGTCTTGGAGTGGAGGTCAAACACACGCCGCTATTGGTTGAGGCCGAGACGCTGGTCAAAGTTCACCGAGGTTGAACCTGACGCCGGATTCTAAGATGCTAAATGCAAATTTCGCCACCGTTACTTTTGCTCGCCTGTGAATGAGGGACGTTTGGACAGAGAGAGGCCGGCGCTTCTGCCTGCTTCCAGTCTTTGTGCTAAGCTAAGCTAACAGGAGTAATAACCCCGAATGGCGACTTGCAAACACATCCATTGTCTCCTCGCCGAAGAAGATGGCCGAGGATGCAGAGGAGGTCCGTGGTTTTGCTTACAGAAGGCCGTCCCGTCAGAGGCCAGGAGGAGGACGGATGCAGAGTTTGTGCACACGTGTAACATGAGCACAGCTGTTAAACATTACCGCCTTTGCGTCCCCGAGGGTTGAGGTTTCACAGGCTCCTTCTGCGCTTATAGCAGCACAACATTCCTCCGTTCTCCAGCTGATACACTGTTGAGAGAAAAAAAACAAAAAACCCAGAGGCTATCTCCATGTAAACACTCGCTATCTGTTGTCTTTGGGATGTAGACGCTCTTTTCCCCGGTGGAGCTCAGGAGTCAGCTGCCCCTCTAACCCTAATCCCCCCCGACTGCCTTTCATTCGGCTGGCTCTCTGCTTTGTGGGCTCCAGCAGCATCACACAGACTTGAGACTTGAGGCCTAAAGCTGCCGAACCAAAACCTCGCCCCGATTTCTTTTCCTTAAAAAAGAAAAGTTTGCGGCTGACGTAATTATGGTTAAACTGTCTCCAGAGTTGAAAAACAGAGCTGGGTTCATGACATGGACCTTAAAACATTCTTGTGGTTCAGCTAAGGAACGACGAAGGACGGTTCAGCGTCGGACAGATCCGATGATAACTCAAACGAAATGAGTTGTTCTCCGATTACAAACATCTCATTATGATTTGCTACCGTGTGTTAATTCAACGTTCTCCATTTGGACTTTTGATGATTTATTTTGACATTGTTTTCAACACGGAATCAAGCAGTTTCAGAAAAACCGAAACAAATAGAGCGGCGGAAATTACGCTAAAGGGAATTCAGTACATTGTACGCAGACAAAGAATGAACCTAAATGAACAACTGATGAGGATCCTGCACAGATGTGCTCTCAGCAGGAGGCATACAGGTGTGCAGCAGGCAGAGAGAGAGAGAACAAACCAGACACACGGGAGTCAGACTTTACAGAAAATAGATGAAACAAGACTCACACAAGGCTCACAAACGCAATGTTACCACTTCATTTAAACATGCTTACGATTACATTTCATGACTTCTTACGACATGATTTAGTAGGACTTCTTTTCAACATGCTGTATCTCTTTTTTATTTTAATTCTATTTTGATTTAACTTTTTTTAATATTACTCTCCAAAATCGGCGACAGCTATTCAGGTCTCAGGTCTTCAATACTTTTTAATTCTCCACGGTTACTTAAAAATCCATTTTTCAACAAACTATACTGACTTTCATTAACGTACCAAACTATGAATCTTTTAACAATATATTGAGGCACTTTTTAGGACATACTATACTGTGACTTTTTCATATTTCCTTTTTGACGGACTAAACTTTTACTGAAGATGTGTTTTTCACATACTACAAAATGTCTTTGGGATTCATTTTATTACACATAGTTTAAAATGGCTGTCACGTCTGTTTAATCAAATTCATATTCAACTTTTCTATATGAAGTACATCATGGATTCTGACCTAACGGCTTTTTGTGTTTTTTGGAAAAACCACAATAGGACATTTCATGACTTTGCGTGATAAACTACAACATGTCTTTTTGTGATGGAGTGTGCTATAACGTCCATGAGATATTACACCGTGTAGCTTATTTGAAGAGGGGGCAATGTTGTTAGACATTTTGGTATCGGACTGCTAGAAATAAAAAACAAACAGCCAAACAGCCTCGACACAAGGACGTTCCCACACAACAAAGTGACACACGGATGTGAACTCTTCTTTTGCAATAGCAGCGAGATAACTGGAGAATGTACACAACACAATGTGAGCAGACGCCCGTCCCAAACACGAAGGTTGAGTTCAGTGATTCACGCCAGTAAAAGCCGCAGTTCAACGTTACGTGGCAGAAATGTCATTTAAATGTCATCCTGTTCAACGGTATAATATGTCTCAGAAAACACGGTCGTAAACAAGTTAAAGTATTGAACAGAGAAGACTTCTTATCTTATAAGTTGTAGCAAATAACATAGAGAATTAATGGAGAAAATGAAAATGAAAACCATTAAAAAATCTGTTTAAATTCTTAAAAAGTAATCAAATGGTGTTTATTGTTGATACATTTTAAATTGTTCACTTACACAGGGTTAAACAAAGTTAAGCATTTGCTATATATGTATATATCTCTGTTAAAAAGATAACAGTTGATTTTTTCACACTGCAAATTAAAAAAATGCCTTTTACTCATTTCACTTGATTGCGCTTCTTTTGGTTTAATAAGGTGTTTCACAACTTCTCTCCGCTAGTACACCAGTATTTTAAGGGTATCTGAAAAATCAAAATCCCTGTGGAGCATTTATATTATTGTTGTATTTACCCACACAAATATGGTATGTTTACAATGTGTCATGATATATTCCAGCTCTTTATTTACTTAAAACCTAACGTTAACACTACCTCAAAATAACCCGTTGTCTTGGGTTTGATTGGTGATCCATAAAGATACAAACGATTCACAAAAAGAGCTCAACCCTTTCGGCATGATTCCTCCAGCAGGGTGAACTACTGGAAAGGCCGTGAGGACAAAGACTCAGCAGCAGAAAGTGCGCTATTGATTACAAATATCTTTTGTGTGCAGTGCACTAAGGTGTCTGCGTGTTGTTTGTGTCTGCAGTGCAGTGTGTTATTTCTTGACATGGCTGAATATCACATATTCTCTGTGAGGTGAACGGATGTCGCTGGTTCCATCATAGCTAAATGTCAAACCACACTCTAATACACATTCTCACTCTCACACACACCACCGGGACCACCTGACAGGACATGTCAACACTCACAACTACACGCACACAACTCCCTCCGTCGTCTCGCACTCTTCTCTCACGTCGCACATGCCCAGCCCTCGTTCTTTACTCCACAACGACACAGGAAGCCAAAGGTTGACCCATTTCTACCAGCAGGTTTTTTTTTTGTTTGGTCTCTGCACAGATGTCACAACAGCGTGCGTCAGAAATATGAAATATACGCCATGTGTAGAGAACAGAGCAGCAAAGACCTCAATGATTTCCATAGGTCTGGAAATAGCAATCTAATAAATACATACATTCTCTATTAGTAAGTAAAGCAGCAATATTTACACTGTCCAAACACATTTAAATCATGCTTTTAAAATCCCAAATCTGCCTGCAGAAATGAAGATTTTTGTTCTCTTGAAATGAAAATCTTTTTTAGACTATTATTAAGACTGATTCTAGCGTTCACTTTAAAGTGACTTTAAACTCAATGCTTTGACACACTTATGAAAAAGAAGCTTACTGACTGAAGAGTCCTACAGTTCAACAATGTATGTATATTCTACATAAGTACCGGAAAAAATAATGACCCAGCAGGCAACACAGGCTGTCCAGTACACCAAACGAGCTGGTGGATGTTTCACTAAGTAGCTGGAGGAGACCGAAGCAAAAGAAGGTGATTAAAATTGGATTTACAGTAATCGAGTGGCTTAATATAAATGCTTAATATAAAGCCATAAGTGAATAATGTTCATTTAGCCCTTAAAGTGAATGAAATTAGTAAAACCGATCAGAAATGCTTGCTTATACGATCACATTGGAATAAACAGTCAGTCCGGCTGCCTGTGATGAGAACACATTTCATACTAAAGAAGCCGCCACGGAGGGATTATTCCAGGTGAACATTACAGGTTGTTCAGATAGATTTATTGCTGAATGTCGTCTGCAGCTCTTTGAGTGTCAGATAGCCCGTCTTGCAGGGCTCCACGGGCATGGAGGAAGACCGGCACATGGCGCCGGGCACGGGCCAGGCCGCATAGTGGCCATGAGCAGCTGCCACAGATACCTCCGCCTGTTGGCTCTTATTCGCTATGGTAGTCAGAGTGGGAGCGTTAGGAGCGGGTGGAGCACAGGGGCACGTCTGGGAAGGGAGATGGAGAATGAGACGAGCAGGGCTCGGCTCATCGTCGGAGGCACCTTCCTCTTCCACATCAGCAAACCTTTCGTCTTCATCGCCGTCTTCGTCTTCCTTTGCGATGCCTAAGCCGGAGTCGGGGCTGTGCGGCTCCCTCGTCAAGCTCTCGTAGGTTGGACAGCCGTCGAGCGCCGGGTGGAGGGAGAGGCGGAGGTTGAGGGTGTTGCGGAAATCGTCCCGACAGGCCGGGTGAGCCGGGCCGAGGCCAGTTGGTGCCAAGCTGCCGGAGGAGCTGGATATGAAGTAGCCCACGTTGGAGAAGAAGGATGAAGAGGAGGAGGAATCGTCAACCACGCCGCTGGTGTCCGAGCCGGCGGTCCGAGGGTCGTGCCTGGAGTGAAGCAGGGCGCTGCTGGAGCTGGAGGAGGGAGAGGTGGTGGCGACCACGTCCCAGCCTTCGCATATCTCAACTGGGGAGATGCTGTCGCACGGCTGGGCTGTGAAGAACGACTCAGCAGCCGACGGAGGATTCAGCCATTCCTGATCAGAAGGAGAGAGAGAGAGAGAGACTTGCAGCTGAGGAAAGACACGATAGCAGCGTTTCTTGAATTTGTAGCCAAAAACATTGTATCTAAATGTGGGTCATTGTTGGTTTGAATACACGACAGAGACAAAAGCCGTCCTTTCAGGTGAGGGGGGAGAAACAGGCTTTTACTTCGTATCAACCTGAACCACAGCTGCAAACTGCAAATAGGCAAGGAAGTCGGTCAACATGAGAAGGGCCGTAACACCAAAACGGCTGATTTCACAATTCAACCTCAACTGGGGAAGCAAAAGCAGGCTCCTGGGATTTTGCACGTGTGTTGACCTTAATGTTTTATTTAATTGCATATTTATTTAATTGCACAATACACAATACAGATTTTAGAGAATATTGTTAAAACTGGAAGCAGCTGAGGAAGAGATGTCCTCACTTTAAGACTGTGGTATGGCTCCAAAAACGCTACAATTCCCATGATGGAACTGTTAATAAATTGCCTGGTCAACTTACGACTTACACTCCCGGTGTTTGTAAAAAAATGGTACTCTACAATCCCAAAATGCAGGGCTTTCAATTGAAGTTAAGAATCTTCAGAGTGGTATGAAGGTATTGCTGCTTCCACAATAACGCCAGTACTCTTTGCTGTGGTTAAACGTGTGTAGTGTAGCCGTCACTAACCAAACTCTACAAAATGAGAGCACAACTGGTCCCTGGGATCCTGAAATTACTCAAATACGGCGTTCCAGGCGTCACAACACGACGCCACAGTCTTTTGTTTCCATTTTTGTGAAATCGTCGACACTTTTGTTGTGGCTGGGAATCACAGTGAACCAAGCAGCTTTAGTCACTTTAACTTAAGATCACTAAAACACCAGAAATTAATCAATTGAATCAAAGAATGTTAAAGTCGATGAATTGTGGATGAAAAAAATTCAGCATTTGAAAAGAAATTCAAAGTAAAGGTTAATCATACTTAAATTTTGCAAGCAATGTGAGTACATCAGAGCTGTTACCCGTGTGTCACAGTGCTCTGCGTGACAAAAGTCGTAAAAATGATTTTACCTTCACATTGCCTCCGTGTACAGAGTGGAGAGTGTGGAAATATTTAGAAGGGTTTGGTACTGGCCTCCCTTTGAGGAGCCTGGAATGACAAAAGCGAGCCATTAGAAAAGACATGGCGCACGTGCACACAAAGACAGACACACAAGCCAACATATTATTATTATATTATTATTATATTCACCCTCTGCTCGCACAACCCTTGTAGAGGACCAGCGTTGCGATGAAGACACTCAAGCAGACCATCCCAACACGCATCACAATGGATGACGTATCCAGAACCCCCTCTGAAACACAGAGCGGACATTACAATGTAAATCCTCACGTCTATAACTGCTATCATTACAAAACCCAAACCTTCCTTTTCTGCCCATTCGCTTCTCAAGGGGAAGAAGTTGCGTTTCAATGCTTATTAGATTACAATCACTGTGGGTTTTAGATGCAAGAAACATAGAACTTCGTTATCTGATTCATTTCTGTCGACGATGTGCTGCACGACATATGAGCAACCACAGAGGTTGTGGCACCAAACACTACATCGATAGCGTCAAGATAAAACAGAAAGCGCAACAAAAAATAGACGTATAAATGACACGTGGAATTTAAAACCATATTGAAAAAAGAGTTTGCGGACATGACATCAAAAACCAAAAGAATCCAAAAAATGAAATCCATAAAAAGCACAGATGAGATTTTCTTGCGTTCTCCTTGGTGTACAAAGCTACTCACCATCTCAATGTTAATAGAGTGACACAATTCCAGTTTCAACTACGCAAGCAATTCTGACTCCTCTGATCACTGAGGAACAAGGACCAATGTAGGTGCATGATGTCATCAGAATGGTTTCTTTTGATGCACCACACTCTATTTCCCCTTGGTTTTATTTAGCATGGTAAAACCCAATGTGTGTCTTAATGAGCGGATCCGGGGGCAAACAAAACAAACCCTTGGCACCACCACATGGAGCTTAAATTCCCTCACCTTGCACAGTAGCTGCATTCTCACAATGACACTAAAATCCAGTCGAGAGCTGATCCTGACAGGCCAACAGACCAAGCCTCCCTGTTGAAATGATCTTGATTGATAGTGTCAAATGCCCAAGATACCAAAATGGACACTCTGCCATTGTCACTATTGATTCTTAAGTCATGACGAACCGCGATCGAGGCTCGTTCTGTACTGTGGTTGGGGCGAAAGCCGTGTTCGTGGTAGATCCTCTAAGGGGGTTGAGTAACTGTAAATAATGTCGCTTCAGAATACAGCCGAAAGGTCAAGAGTGGGCTTCATCAAAAGTGGTTTCGCTTGAAGTCGGTGAGGAACATTTGAGGCTCTGAACCATCGTTCCAAGATTAATGGCATTATCTGGGGTAAAATTGGCGGAGAAAAGAAGGTGGCCGGACAACACAGACCCCTAATAGCCCGACATGGAAGCAAAGCCCATAAGTGGCTCTGTTTGTCGGTTCTTGGGGAAGACCCTGAACCACGATGGACGACTACATTTCAGATCTGGGATCAGTTTTATCCAAAAGAGTAGATGTCTATCTACTCCCTAAAATGAAAGCTGTTCGCCCGTCAGCCGTTGTTCTCTGTTGTCCTTCAAAGAACACGAGCACTCAAAATGTTCTTACCTTCATCCTGTGTTGTTGTCCCCGTGTCTGTTGCACCCAGCCAGGATGTCGTAGGACTCCAGTCGCTCCAGTGGCTGCTTGTCCGGAGAAAAACGGGTTTGACTCTCACCCGGACCTGGCAGGGCCCCTTCACTTTCCAACTGGCTACGATCAGCTCTTGTTCTTGTGTGAACAAAGTGTTGGACTCCTTCAACAACAAAAAAACAACAGAATGGATTTCTGCAACATCAGTTCTGTCTGTGTTTGCCATCAGCCTCAGCTGCACTCTGTGTTTTGTGCAATTTAAGCAAATGTTTGCATGTTAACTGCACTAACTAAAAACTAAAAATCATCATGTTAGTAGGGTCATCGTGAGCATGCGAGCATGGTGACATCAGCATTGAGCTTACCACTGTGCCTAAACGCACGGGCACTTACATTCCATGACTTGTTTTTCTGTTTGATCTGAACCTGGAAGTTGAAGGATTTGAAGTAGTCTGACGGAGGACCTCCTGGGCTCCAGGATATCAGGGTCCTGTTGGGCGTGCAGCTGACATTGGGAACGCTCGGAGGATGCATTTTGACTGTGAACGCAGACGCAGACCCGCGTTATTCTCTGGTATTGAATGAGACTTTATGCCAAATGTCTTTTAGAAGTTGATTTGTGAATTATTTTACAGAGGCAACTGAACTAGTCACAGCTTTCAGGAGAAGTAAAAGTCGCTGACCGTGATTGAATGGTGAATAGTTTGTGATGTTCTCCACCATCGTCCCGTTACACTCCACTCGTATGTAGGGCATCTCCTTCATAAAAGGGTTGAACTCCTGGAGGGGGGGGGGACACATAATACAATCTATTACATTAAGGATAAAAATAGCATGGGTCAGTTAGCTCTGCTGCAAGACTGTTGATTCTTCTCTTCTTTTTTTTTACATCTGAAAATACATTAACAACCAAACAGGAATTCAACAGGGTAAAAAGTGAAGTGAAGTAAAGATGTGGTTCTCATGGTTGATATATTTGTGACTTACTTCATTTTCAAAGACAAAACTGCACCCTGACGGAGAGTTCCGGTGTTGTTTCAGTTTGCAGCTTCGACTAAGTGAGAAAATTGACAAAAATGAACACACAAAAATGAACACACAAAAATGAACGCGGGGCCAACTGACCGAGCTGCCAGCATGAAGGTGAATGTGTACTTCTATCATCTCACATAATCGTTGCCCGTTTGGCCCAGGTAATCTTCATACCAACGATCCAGCAGTCCAGTCCAGAGCCGTCCCACGTGCAGCTCACGTTGTTCACAAAGTCATTCACGCAGGAGAGTCCTTCAGGGACCGAGACAAAACAGACACATTAGGACGCTGGCATTGGACCTGTCCTCCATGTCCCAATAAACCAGCGGCCGCGTTTCAGCATTTGGCAGAAGTGGAATGCTGAAAATTCCAGTTTGATTCAGTTATACCGTGTGAGTCTTGAGAGTCTGCTGCGGACTTTGAAAACAGAACCGCGAGGACGGACAGGGTCACCAGGACCTGCACGGCCATGGCCACAATAGAACTGTGGACACAGAAGATCAGTAGAGAATGGCATTTGTTTGAGGACGTGAATCAATACTGTTAAAAACATTAACATGTTCATGCAGAAAAGAAAGACGGTTGTTTACATGTTGGACCCAAAAGTTTCTCCTAATCGCACCTCATTCTTCTGCTTCATAATGTCTTTATCATTTGATGCTGTTGTCCTCGAAATTCATGTAAAAGAAGCGCATTAAATTGAAACTAGGAGGTTCGGTTTGAACATGTGACCCCAAACGAGTTTCTTTATGTAGGGAAACTCGTTTCTGAAACTGCGCGGCGGTGGTAGAGTTTTGAGAGGTGAGGAAACCATACTAGTTCCACCCCGAGCTGAACGCTCATCCAGAACAAGCGGTTATGAGCGAAACTTGACTCAGATCAGCAGCAGCACCGCTGGTGCTGATCATCATTTCGAGATTTCATAAAAGCAGCATTTGTTGAAAGGTCGTGTTTTGCCGGTAACTTTATCGGTGTTACATCCATATATTATATATTATATAATGTACACGAGAAACAGAAGAAAGAAATGACATATTATTATTATAATATTATCTCAGTAAAAGCCGCTGTGAAAAGACGCTGTCAAAAAATGAAAGTACTAGAATATATTGGCAAGTTGTTAGAAATGACACAGGTTATTGGGGTGTTTTTGACAGCAACAGTAGGAAGAAAGTGGTACAGTACCTGATCAGAGGGTCCCCGAGAGACACATTGCAGTGTCCTCTGCTGGACTGACGAGTTTAAAAGACATCCTTTTTTCTTCCTGTCCTCGTGTGTGTCTCTGGCGTGATCTCTCTCCCTCTCTCTGTCTGTCGCTCATCCCTCCTTCTCCTCTGTCGCGGCCCAGTGTCTTCTTTAAAGTGCCCAGTGACATTTTCCACTTGTAACCACACAGCCCGTCTCTGGGGCTTACAGGAAGCCTCACAACGCTGTGTGAGAGGACGGGCGGGCGGGGGGGGGGGGGAAGTTGCAGAGCACCTCCTCCGGCTCACCAGCAAACAGCTACCTGGACGTCGTCACGGTGATCATTCCAACAAAAACAAGAAATGAAAACCCCACCACATCCTCTTTCGATCCCGTCCCAATCCCCAAAGTGAGGAGGGTTGTTCAGAGGGAAACGTCGTCCTGTCACGAAGGTTCCCGGGACTCAATTTAAACACCTTAAACACCTTAAAGTGACGATTCTGAGGACTAGAGTGGCCCAAGGATCCAGATGTGGAACCTATGGCCTCATTCAAATTACAAACACACACACCTTCAAGAGTTGTACGGCATCAAAACCGCTGCTGTTACAGCCGCAACCACTGCAAAACCCCACGTGCGCATCTCGCGTAGAGCAGTCAAATCTGCAGCCTGCTCTTCACTCAAAGGTCACCGAACATTTCATGTCTGGAGCAACGGCCCCTCGAGAGATTATCTGTAAACAAACCTCCGGTCTCAAACGTTAAATGAGAGGGGAATGACATTCATGGGGCGGCGTACGGCGCAAGTTATTTGAAAGTAGGAGGGTTTGTAAAATCAAAAAAAATATATATATATATATATATATATATCCTATGTATATTATTATCCATCCATCCATCCATTGTCAAACCGCTTATCCTGCACACAGGGTCGCGGGGGGGCTGGAGTCCATCCCAGCCAACTTCGGGCGATAGACAGGGTACACCCTGGATTGGTCGCCAGCCAATCGCAGGGCGACACAGAGACATACAACCATTCACACTCACATTCACACAACTATGGGCAATTTAGAGTCCCCAATTAACCTGATCCCCAGAGCATGTCTTTGGACTGTGGGAGGAAGCCGGAGAACCCGGAGAGAACATGCAGACTCCACACAGAAAGGCCACTGGGCGGAATCGAACCCAGGACCTTCTTGCTGTGAGGCGACAGTGCTAACCACCGCGCCACCGTGGTATATTATTATGTTGCTGCAAAAAAAGTTGAATAGACCTAAAATAGTTTTATATGTGCGCACCAATTATTCTGTTTACCATCATTTGCCAATATTGATTGAATTATTGGCACATCACGTTTAAGGGGATGATTTCTTTATGTCATTTCATATCAAATATAAAGTTCTGCTCCATGTCCGGGCCCAATGACCTTCGCAAAGCCCCTAATTGTCAACAGCGTGCTTTGTTCATCATGCCGGGGCCCCGAGATGCAACAATATATTGTGGAACAAATACGTTATTTTGATGCAACTAAAGCTTTGTTGTCGGCCCAATTTAATGTAGATAACAAAGTCATGTTGCAGATGGAGAGCGAGGGTGAAACTAAGAGACGTCTATAGCAGCACCTGTAGAAGCTACGTTCAATGTTATTATCTACAAGAGCTCATCTCGGTCTTTAAGTTCAATGAAGGGCCATTGTGCAACGCTCATCCACGCTGTACACAGGCGCACAAACCACAACGCATACACTCACACAACAACTGTTGCAAAACAGCCCGGTTTGGGTGCCTGAATGGGTTTCAGGCCTGTAGTGGGCCTGGGGTTGATCGGATGCACTCACTTAGGCGTCGGCATCAGCTCGCAGCGGTGAGAGGGGAGACGAGGGAAGGGGAGGGCCGAGGCGCGCAGAGAAGGGGCGACAGGAAGCTCAGCGCACGGCTCTCGCCGGAAGGTCAGGGTCCGCCAAGCCCGAGGCAGGAAGCGGCTGAGACGGCTATTTGTGCTTGTGAGGCAACAAGAAAACAGTCTCCATCAATAGACCACAAAGACGGGGCGGTGGGGGGGCCTGTGGGTCTTTAAAAAAAAACCTGTGCAACTTTGTGCTTAGTCTATTTAACACCGTTTGAGTCATCGTGGGGAAGTCGAACGCTTTTGTGTTTTTATTTCCGGCAGGCGGGGGCCAGAGAGTGCAGAGCGCTTTGAGGCTGCACGGGTGAAGTGGTGCTCTGAGCTACATGCTAACGCTCACATGCTAACGAGCTCACGATGACGTCACAAAACACAAGTTGTCCCCACGGTAGAAGCTGATGAGGCAGAAGGCCCGTTCACACCCGGGCAACTGTTGAGTCATAAACTAGGATGAATTAAACTGTTAAACATGTTGAATAATGCCGATATGATGAGTTAGCGTCCATGCATCGTATTCTTTGCTGAATTGAGACCGGTGAAGACATGAGGAAATCCTATCCTGTAGCTCAGCTAACCCACTGAATAACAAATTAGATCCTGTGAAAAGTTTTGGATTGCTAATATAAAGCAAGGATGATTGCAATGCAGCGTGGAAAGCAAAGCTGTATAGATATACTTTTCCCCAATACCTGTGAGAACATCTGACATGTCGTGTGAACTGCTTTGGAAGGACTTCAGCCATTCAGACATACGCTTCATTGGAGTGACAGATTAAGCTTAATTGATCCGTCCTAGATCAGCGCTGACCCCGACCATTCCTCCCGAGCTCCGTCTCTCTCTGCGCAGTAGAGAAGGGATCAGATAACGGCCACAGATACTCATCATCCGGGTCTGGCTCAGTAGGAGAGGCAGCAGGTTGTGACAAAAAGCAAGTTTCAGTGGTTTTTGTTGAAACCACCTCCATCCTGCTGCTTTTACACATCACACAAATAACCCCTTCAAGCTGCTGCTAGCATTCAGCCATTTAGGTACTTTTTGGTCTTTTATGGTCGCTACATTTCAGACGACAATTATCCGTATCTCATCTTGAGGGAGAAGAAAAGGGAAGTGAAAGTTTGATTTACCTAAACCTAATCGAATTGGTTCTACATGAATGCACACACACACACACACACACACCGCCGTGCTAGAGCGCGCACCTGATTAGTTTAGTTACTTAAGTGGAGGTTTATCACACATATCATTTGTCAAACTAACGAGCTTTCATTTGTTTTGATGTTTTACCTGCTACCTACATGCTAACATGCTCAATATGGAAAAGTAAAAGAGTAGCTGGTATTCTTTTTCTTATAATATCCACCTGATGAAATGTGTCACCTCAGGTTCGTATCCAGCTGACGCTGATGTGAAGGTAAATGTTTTGCATGTAAAAAAGTTCCTATTTTGACATAAAAAATGAATGTGGTCAAACCTTTACTTAACAACTTGCAGCAGTTAATTTAGGTCACAAGAGCATTAATTATGAGACATTCGGCCACTTAAAGTACACATGTGGGACATCTAAAGTATGTTGCAACCTTAAGATGTCTTGTGTTTTATTAAGTCTTGCTTTATTAAGGAGACTATGCAGTTTAACATTTGCTGAAGAGTTATGAGATGTTAAATAATGGAGGAACAACTACCCAGTAGTATGAGTTATAGAGCAGGGGCTATGTGGAAGCTTGCACACATTAGCCACCTTACATTATTGATACCAAACCAAGTAAACTATTGCAAAAATGTATTTTTAAATGTATTTTTACTGGGTTCACCTGCTAAATTGTAGGAAGAATGTGACTCTGCTACTTTTAAAGGTCCAACTTTTCCCAATTTTCCAAACTACTTTTAATTACACAATTAATTGCACATAGGCGGCCGTTCACCTGATTAAAGTACAAAGCTGTAATTGTGTTTGTGTGAAGACAGCGGCCCGAGCTGCGAGAGCTTTGTGGGTTTGAACCAACTGATCCAAGATCAGCACAGCGAGGCAGCGGCAGGGACGGCACCGGGGGGCCTCGCCTGCCCAACACCATGTTCAGAGGAAATCATAACTTTAACTAGAACACAGCGTTAACACGCAGTGGGCCCCAAAAAAGAGATACAGAAACCATTTTCTCTTGGCTGTCTTTACGTCCTTTTGGCAAATTGAGGTCATAGGGAGGTAATAAACCGCACGGTGGGTGAGTCAGAACAAAAGGTGTTACATTTCTGGAGAATGTCACGCAAGGCCCCCGAGAACATTACATCAGGTTCCATCTTTGGACAAAAACATTTGAAAAAGATAAAACTGTCACACGTTAAGATAAATGATCAGCTATGACCTTGGCGGGCAACAGTCTTTTGCATAATTGTTTTTACTTTACGGAGCCGTAGAAAATGGCTTCTATTGACGCGCTCACTTTATTGAGTTTATCCATCAAAAATAAGAAAGTTATGCTGGGTTGAGTGCATTTTTTTTAATTTCTTATATCGTTTGTAAAAGCATTTGAAATTCCTGAGTTTCTTTTTTTTTTTTTTTCAAACCCATCTCAAACTCAAAAACCAAGCCTCACGCATTTCTTTTGACCTTTATTTCACAATCTTATGCCATTTATTGTGTTTTTGTCATAATACCACACACAAATGTCAACTGGCTAAAACAATATAAAACATAACTTCCACAATTTGTCATTATTTATATTATGTACATGCACTCATACGCGTCGAGGCAAAAAAAAACAACCTCTCAGGCCTTCGCTTTCTCTCGAGTGCGCTTTCATCCGTCTTCCTGCTGGTCGAGAGGCTCCATTCAGGATCCCTCAGCTGCTGTTTACCAGTCGGACTCAAAAGGTTGGAATATTTGGGATTTGGGATTCACGCAGGTTGGTTCTTGCTTTGCCAGCATCGCGGGTGAAAAACACGAGGCGACGGCTCGGATGACAAACCGGAGTTGAACGTGTATGAAGTTCAACACTGTGCCTGGCGAATAGTTTCACTCCCAGGCGGATTTGCAGAGAAGAAAAATCAGAAAAACTAATGTGATGTTAAGAATCGCTCCTCTGTTCTGAGGCGAGACCGAGCGCCGCTTCCTGCCAAAGTGTCGGCCAGAGTGTAGCTCACAACCGACACACCAGACGTTCATGTATTCTTTAGATGCTTTTCTAGGAACTGGGGTTGTGAGGGATGTGCGGCGCGGAACGAAACGAGGGATCAGAAGCACAACGGGAGGACGTTACTTCCATTGTGCATCTGACTGCTTCATCTCAGCTCGCGCCCCGAATCATGAACTATCTACAATACTTCTGAGTTCAATAGAAGGAAAAAAATAAACTGGAAGTTTAAGAATAAACAAACTCGCCTCTTCTGAAACAGCCAACTGAACTACACACAGCGTGGCTTTCTACACCTCTGTCGATATGATTACTGGGACTTACAGTATTAATGGAGGCATGAACGCGCTCATGACAAAGTCGCTCTATGGTCATCAGCTTGGCATTAAAAATGCAGAAATGATTTCTTAAAGGAGATCAAATTGGAATCTTTTTGAACTTCTGTTGTTTAAAAAAATAGAAAGGAAGAAAAGAGACACAGGCTCTCTTGTCACTTTTGTAATTGAATGATAATACTCAAAATGGGATTCTTATTGGAGTGGTCCGTCGGCTGCTGCCTGCCTCCTGCTTGTGACCTCCATCAGTTGAGGCTGCTCAGGCGGGGGTCGGATCCCCTCTCTATGTGGGGGCGAACTTCTTGGCCTGTGCTCTTACCCGCTTCTCATAATCCATCCTGTTCTGACTGAAACACAAAGGAGATGAAGACACTTAGAACCACCTGATGTAATTCTGAAGCCTATGTTCAGGTAGTATTTCTCCTTTCGTGTTGGGACTTGCATTTGGTCTCCAAAGGGCCGTGCCATGACTTTGATTAGTAATGGAATACTCCCATCAACAGCCATGACTTTGAAGGAAATTAAGACTTGAACCAGAATATTAGATCCGGATTTGGATTATATCAAATGTTATCTAACCCCATCACAAAGCATTTTCCTGTGAAATATTAACATGGCAAATGTAAAAAAAAAAGAAAAGAAAGAAAAACAAAGCTTCCTTCCAGGCCTCATGTGTAGGCCTTTAGGTGGGTCGGGTCATCACAGCACTTACCAGTAAATTGTGTAAGCTTCTGCTTGTGCCGGGTCTTGAATGTTGGGCTCGTTCAGCAGCTCCTGGATTCCCAACAGGATCTGAAATCAGAGCAAAGGATCCTACAGTCAGACAGCAGTGACCCCCCCTGCATCCACAGTGTTCTTTACAGGTTTGTGTGCGTTTCAAGTAATTTATCAAAGATTATATGTATTAGATCTCATTCCCTGTATGTATATGAATGTAAAATGTTATGTCTCAGCTGCATTATCATTAGGTTTATAAATTAATTGTTTTATTTGTACTATGATACTGATACGAGTATGAGGGAGACGCTTGAGTGTTCAGACCTGTTTGATGGTGATGGCGGGCCTCCAGTCCTTGTCCTCCTCCAGGATGGACAGGCAGACGGTGCCGGATGGGTAAACATTTGGGTGGAATATTGGTGGCTCAAACTTGCCTGAGAAAAGAGTGAGAATTTCAGGGGGTTAAAACGAGTTTGACACAAACACAAGATTTTCCATACTTTAGAAATTCATTCAGTTAAGCTGTCAATCAAAAGGTTCTGTATTTGATAGTCAGAGCATCAATATATCCGCAAACAACAGCTTGCTTTGCAAAAAGTGAAGAATAAAGTCGCTCTATTTCTAAAAATAGATGCAGTATATTTAAAAACACTGTCATCTTTTACCTACGAGTACCAACTACCGGCTAAACAAGATGAAGTGACTCGGTCGCCCAAACTCTGGATTTCCGCCCTTTCCTGTTATTTGCGGTTGAACAGACACCTGCCTGTAAATGACGCGGCGTGGAGCCGTGCAGTGTGGGGTGATACTCACATTTCGGTGGTGAGGAAGGGTAGTCGTCTTTGAACAGCATTCTGAGTTTATAGAGCCCTCCTTCCCACAAGGTCTAATGAGGAAATAACTGCTTCAGTAAATAGGAAAGGATGCAGGAATGACAAAACATTGAGAGACTTAAATGTGCCATTCTGGATATGACGACTTTTGCATTTTGGCTTTTGAAAACATCATGCATAGTTTGCTTTATTAACTTTTATTAATACAGCTTTATTAACTTGCTTTATTAGCTTTTTATTAACTTTTCTTTCTAACTTTGGCCCAGAATTATTAAGATTAGAAGATTTAGAAACCGTAACGTGACCTTCACGTGTTACAATGTGTTGCACATGCCTGTTATTTCAGTGGCCTATTTCTATGCTGATCTCTGCTGGCTCCATCACATCTGGTGACAAATAATCAACCCAGATGTTAAATACCCAGTTGTGAGGATTGTTGTCTAACATGGAGAATGAATGAGTTGTGGTGGAAAGGGTTTACTGCTGGTCATTCTGCAGACAGGTGACAGCAGCTGCTCCACTTTCTGCAGCAAACTAACTCAAGTTAACTTACTCCTTTCTTCCCCGGAATCGCACACTCCCAGTTCATCAGATTCATGGTCCCATCGGGATTCTTTGTGGGCACAGCAACAAAACCCTGTGACATTTGCCGAGACACACAACACCAATGAGTGGTCACTAATCAATCATGTACTTTGTGTTGAATACGGGTCGGCACGTCGCTTACGAATGGGTGGTCTTTCCTCCAGGCTTTACGCTCCTGAGACAGTCTGCTAAGAGCGATGCCGGACATTGCTGCTCATCAACGCCTCCCTGTGGAAAAACAACCCCAAACACGGTCATTATTCCATTTAAATCCTACACATACTTGCACTGCAGCGTGTTCTTCGGGGAATGGCGCTACAGGTTTTTACCATTAACCAAAAACGTCGAGATGAATTCAACGTTGTGAAACGAGACACGCGACGTTAGATTCACACGGTGGATCCGGCCGATGTGCGCCGATTCCTTATAAGGGCAAAATGTACAAAAGCAACAGACGACGAACGGCCTCGCTTCGACCGGACTTACCTCTAGTTTTTATTCGGCTAACGTTGAATACCGACGACGACGCGGGTTTGAGAACGCTAGCTTGAGGCTAACGCTGCTGCTAAGCTAACGGCGGCCGAAAAGAAACACACCCTTCGACGTTCAAAAACGAAACTAGTGGGCCAGTTAGGGCGAATACGACCAACCCGAAAGAAACTTCAATTTCATGAACATCTCCCAAACAATCTTATCGACGTATATTGGTGTTGTTTTTCACAAATGAACCACAGACGTGTTAAAACAATGTGACTCGCAACACCGTTTCCACAGCTAGCCTATCGCGAGAAAGGACCCCAATTTGTTTATTTCGCAAGGACCTTCAGGCAGTTTCAGGGAATATCCGAGTGACACCCGCCTGAGACGGTCGGCCATCTTTGTTGGCATCCGATGCATTCTGGGAAGTTCGCGCCGTTAAAAGATTCCATCATTCTGAGTCGCGCCGCCAGATCCTAAACGAGTCACCTCTCACTGCTCATTTTTATTTTCGCGTATGATTTGCGTGCCTCATAACACTTCATTTAATAGATTTGATAAATTAAATAGAGGTTGACAGATGTCCCGAACACAGTAATATAAGAAAATACAGGCAGAGGCTGAAAAAAATCCAACTCATTTTGCCTTTGAGCTGAGTGTGACATTAAGGGTGAATAGCCAGGTATACGCTGGAGAAGCTTCTGACGGACCCCGAAAGGAAGGTCTGGTTCCTTTGGAGCAATTATAGACGCATATAAGAAGACATAGTCAAAACAATGCCAACCACCAGGTTTGTGGACTGCCTTTTTGAAGCCTGGAGCTGAGCATTTCGGCACCCAGTCAAACGGAAGTGATGCCATACAGGTATCTGGTAGCGGCAGCTCGTAGGCGCAGTGACCAGTCAATCACAAAATAGCTCAATTTTACTCTTGATGTGGCCATAATTAACGGATCGGACATCGTGCTGTATTTAAACTAGCTATTGGGTACATAAACTCAAGGTGATTAATCAAGTTAGAAAAATATCATTTTCTCATTGACCTCCATACAATCAAACATTTTTTGCAACCAGAGGAGTCGGCCCCTGTTGCCCTGTTGAGAGAATGCAAGTTCAAGGCACTTCAGTATTTACTTCAATTTGCAGAACCAGAGGTTGCCACCTGTTCACAACTCGAGAATAATTGTTCTAAAAAGGTTGATCGTTCTCTTTTGCCCAGTGGTAATCCTCCTTTGTTCTCTTTTTTTCTTTTTACCCGGTGGCCCCTAGCAACAGCTGACATCATACACAATAGCTGATAATGCTTTACTTGCTATATGTACAGTTCAAAAGGGTGGCAGTGCCTTATTTCCTGTAATAAAAGATAATGATGCAGATTGGAACAAGTATAGAACTTTTCCCGCACAGTTCTCCAAATACAACTCTTGCTCAGCCGCTTGTATTTGATTTTCTTAAATTAGGAAACATTTTCAGTGCCATATAAGTTAAATAATGTACACTGTACAGTTGCACATAATAGTTTACCACCATGGAGTGGAAAAAAAGGTGATCTATACTTAGTGGTTAAGATCAGGCATATTTCCAGACACCTAAAATCAAGCACAGTAACCGGTCTAAACTGGATTCGATTTTCTCTGCGTCAGCATCCCAATTAAAAAAACAAATGATTTTACGTGTTATGTTATGCAGCCTTTTTGTGGGTCTCATTGCTGGGTTCACTACACGTTTTATTTAAGTAAAAATTTAATGATTACAAATTTTCTGAAGGGAAAAAAATATTATTAAAAAAATACCAAGACAACAATTTCCACAGAAAAAAGCATCATATAATTCCATTAATTGTGAGGAAAACATGGTGTTCACTTTCTATTTTCTCCATATGCAGTTTTTTGCCCTTTGGTCTTCCATGGCCTTACAACAAAGCTAACATTTACTTTTCTGATTACTGAATAAACAAGTTAATCATTTCAAAAGGGGAAAAAAGATGACAATGTACCCATTTAAAGAATAACCAAGCAGCCTCAACATTTATTGAAAAGTTAGTAAAAAATTTCATCAATACATCGTCAAGGAAAATATAATTCACAGAACCCTACATCCCAGATCATTTGCATAAGTAGAGAAGATTTATTACAAGTTCACTCTGTGCGCAGCATTTTGCAGCATGAACTATCTCCTCCGTGTTAGTAGAAAAGTGCTCTATGAGACTGTTTCATAGTCGGGATCTATCCTTCTCGGCATCGAGAACACTGCTTTCCCTTGTGGATGTTCCATCCAACTCTATTCGCACTTATTTCCCTCCCCCTCTGAGATGATATGCTCCGGCGATGCCCTTTTAAACCATTCCGACCAGGATCCATCATAAACACACACCCCAGGGTGCCCGAGCAGGTGAGCTGCCAGAACCACATGACACGCTGTGACACCGGAGCCACAGGAAGCCCAGAGCGGTTGGCCCAGGTCCACCCCCGCCTCTCGGAACAGTTTTGACAGGCCCTCGGCTCTCAGCTCCTTGCCAGAGGCATCCAGGAAAGAAGTGAACGGCATGTTGATCGCACCAGGGATGTGTCCCGGCAGCGTGTCTGTGAGGGCGAGGCAGAGGAGTAACAAATCATGTGAGAATTGGGGGCAATAATACAGTATTTAAAAAAAAAAAAAGGTATAAAATCGATGTAATTTGTTTTTTAAAACAAATGTTCTCGTACTATAAACTTGACATTATGTTGAATGTGTAATAGAATTACCCCTCATTTAAATGTGTGTAAAGTGTTCCAATAAAAATAGACAGCTCGGTGAATGTGGCACCGTCACTAGCCTGTCGGTAAGCGGGCTGCTTCACCGCACAAACTTGGCAAAATTCTGGATTGGTAGAACTGGCATGGCAACCTCATGCCCTGACCTTTGACCCCAAGATGTCTCTTTTCGATGCTTATGTACCGATTATTAATAATAATAATAATCTCTGCGTTTTGGGACAAAAAACCTTCAGTTCTTTGTATGCATATGCTTTCAGATGATGGACACCACCTCTGCAGGTTCTCCCCCAGGAAAAGGGGCCTATCTGGGTCTCTGACAGTTAGAAGTCCAGCTCACCTTCTCTGGGCTCCGGCTCGGTTCCCCTGAACCTCCCTGCGGACCTGGCATCCACCACCTGGACTTTCCCGGTGCGGATGTTCTCCAACACGTCCTCGTAGCTCTTCACCCACGACGGGTTCAGCGTCGCCTCGAACTCCGCGCGCTCCGGCTCGGTGTCGTCACAAGTCACCGGGTGACCTCCGGCCAGCCAGCTCCTCATGCCGCCGTCCAGCACCGACACCGACCCGTGTCCGAACAGCCGGAACATCCACCAAACGCGGGGCGCAGAGAACGACCCGAGGTCGCTGGTGTCGTACACGACTACGTGCGTGCCGTTCCCGATGCCCAGGTCCCCGGCGTACCGGGAGAAGTGGCCGCACGTCGGCAGCATGTGATCCGCCGCGGAGCTCTTGTCGCGGCAGTCGTCGATGTCGAAGAAGGAGGCGCCCGGGATGTGCTTCTGCGCGAATTCCGCCCTCGGGTCCCGCTTCATTTTCGGCAGGTACCACGAAGAGTCCAGAACGCGAAGTTTGGGCCCGACGAGGTTGCTACACAGAGCATCCGCCAGCCACTGGGCCGACACCAGGGCGCGGGTCTGCGCCGCCATGACGAGTTGCTGGGCGCGGGCGCGGGCGCGCGCGCTGGAGGGAGAGGTTCCGGGCGGCGCGCGGGAAGGGCAACGCGGAGAGCAAACCCGAGAGGCTACTGTTCAACTGTAGGGCCCAGTCCCAATAACCCCTGAACCCTGACCCCTCACCCCTGACTCCTTCAGTGACTCAACTGACGTCCCCGGTGAGAGTCTGCGAGGGCTTTAAATGGTGTAAATGTGAACTTTACTGCCACGTGTCACGTCACCCAGACAACGTCAAAAAATACGATTTACGATTGAGGGGATTTATTTAATACTTTATACTCTGATCTCAACGTATTTCAGGGTCTTTTTTCATAAAATGAGAGGTAATTCAAAATAGTGCTTTGTGTTATTTTTGTTTAAATTGCTTCAATGGCAAAGTTTATATTTCATCGATTAATAAATATCGCCTGTTTTTTCATCATCTTTAAACATTCACTGGTTATCCCGTTTTTAGCGTCACTGCAATGACTTATAAGGAGAGGACTTCTAACCCACCAGCAGGTTGTGGCAGGTACATAGTATATATCAGGCCATGGTAAAAAAAAATATATTTTGTAGGAATTATGTCGAATATGCTGAAAAACAATCATTCGTGATCCTGTCAGTAATAGGTATCTAACATAAGTCTGACAGCAGCAGCACTCATTTCTTTTCATGTGTACCAACATACACGAAAGTTGCAACATTAAATCACACTGACGTCATATTGAGCTGCCAAAAGACAGTCCTTTATCAAACAGCCTTGTTTCAAAAACAGTGATAGAATATGTGTTGAAGAGTCAAATCTAAATCATCTATCGACCACACACTTGTGGACACTTGTGGGGCGAGGACATATAAATTGTAAGGGGGGGGGGACACCAGAGGGTCAACTATTTCCGCGCGTAACTCATGATTTAGCGATATTTGGATCTGATGCCAGATGTGTGGCTGTTTTCGTCTGTTGCTAGAGAACCAACCGTCAAATCATACGCAGGCATAGTCCCGTTGAAGTAGACTTTTAAAAAATGGTCCCTGCTCTTTTATGTAAATCATAATCTGTAACATTGTCCACCCGCCGCTGAATATTAATATATTTTAACCTGAAACACACTCATGAGTCCTTTGTCAAGACTTCCCAATCATTTTTTGCGACTCGGGTTGCTTTTACACCCTGTAAACTGTTGAAAAATCCTGAAATATTCTATTTTATTGTAAGATTGAAATGAAATAACAAACATTCCAATCCACACCTGCTGTTTGTCTATTGAACTTAAAAAAAACAAAAATACAAACATCTAAATTCTAATGTACTTGTTGATTAGCTAGTGATGTGTCTAACATAAAGGGGGCCATCATAAATACAATTTTGAGGTATTAAGAACTATTAAGAAAGTTTCCCAGAAACGTGCTCCTTTTAGCATTGACAAAAAAGTGATTTGTTAAATATTTATTGATTTCATTACAGTTTTACCAACGCAACTCAAATACAGTTTCCATTAATTAACAAGGATAAAGGCTAAACAACTGCTTTCACAAAAAAGTTACATTTTTGAATTTGCACAACATGTATATTTGATCAAATACAATCCCTATTCACCATTAATCATGTCTCATGAATTTTATTTTGTGATATCGCTACTTTGATTGGCTAAGCATTTTTTATACACAATATCACAGCCTACGGGCTATTCACCTGTTAAGGACTTTTGATCAAGGCATGTACTTGGCTCCTTTCATCCTCGGAATGATATGTAAATCTCTGATGTCATCATGCTGAAGCAGCCAACACAAGTAGCGCTCCGTCCCCATGCCCCATCCACTGGTCTGGAGTGGTTTCACTTGCCGCATGTCAGTGTACCATTTGTAGGACTTTTCTGGCACTGCATGGTGCCTGAGGGCATCTTTCACCATCTCAGGGTTAGAATGCCGTTCACCAAGACCCAGAGTCTCTCCCAGCCCGAGGAGAAGGTCAGCGGCTTTGGCTTTGCTGCGCCCAGTGTCCTCCATGTAGGCTTGGTAGAAAGGAACACTTAGATGATCCATCTCAGTCAGCCAAACTGCACCACCATTTTTCTCAATCAAGACCCGCTCTCCTTTGCGTGTCAGCTTTCTGCCAAACTGCGGCTGACCATCTTGTACCCACTCTAAGCAGTCAGCAGAGGGCATCATGGGAATGGCCTGGTCCAAAGAGACTCTTGGGAGAGAAGTTTTTCCATCCAGCTTACTCAGCATGGCTTTCACATGTGTAAGAGTCCCGGCAGTGTTTAGGATCATATCAGAGTGTTTCTTTAACATGGACTTGGTTAGATGAGCCAAGTACCCCTCTGCTGTGGAAATGGCTTTGTCCATGTCTCCCAACAGTTCACACTCCACATGGTAGAACTGATTCAAGTGAGTTGCATCAGGATCCTCGCCTCTGAAGCTGGGAGATATGTAATACGTCCCCGGCAGGTTCTCCTGGAAGCGAAGGAAATATTCAAGTACAAATTGCATCGAGTCAGCCAGGTAGATGTCCTGGCCCAGCAGGTTAACCGAAACTGGTTCTGAGTCCGATCCCAAGCCCACCTTCACCAGATCTGTGCCTCAACACAATTCTGTGTCTGCGGTCTGCAGGCAGTTCCTTGGACTTGTGTGTGCCTTCCTAAATCATGTCAACTGAACGCGGCAGGGTGGACTCCAATCAAGCCGGGAAAACATCTCAAGGATGACCAGTGGAAACAGGATGCAGCTGGGCTCAACTTTTGAGTGTCGCGGCGAAGGCTGTGAATACTTGTGCACATGTTATATTATAGTTCCGTAACATAACAAAATGTGGAGAGAGTGAAGCGCTGAAATATTTCCGGCTGCACTGTAAAGTTGTCATAACTCATGATTTAGCGATATTTGGATCTGATGCCAGATGTGTGGCTGTTTTCGTCTGTTGCTAGAGAACCAACCGTCAAATCATACGCAGGCATAGTCCCGTTGAAGTAGACTTTTAAAAAATGGTCCCTGCTCTTTTATGTAAATCATAATCTGTAACATTGTCCACCCGCCGCTGAATATTAATATATTTTAACCTGAAACACACTCATGAGTCCTTTGTCAAGACTTCCCAATCATTTTTTGCGACTCGGGTTGCTTTTACAACCTGTAAACTGTTGAAAAATCCTGAAATATTCTATTTTATTGTAAGATTGAAATGAAATAACAAACATTCCAACCCACACCTGCTGTTTGTCTATTGAACTTAAAAAAAACAAAAATACAAACATCTAAATTCTAATGTACTTGTTGATTAGCTAGTGATGTGTCTAACATAGAGGGGGCCATCATAAATACAATTGTGAGGTATTAAGAACTATTAAGAAAGTTTCCCAGAAACGTGCTCCTTTTAGCATTGACAAAAAAGTGATTTGTTAAATATTTATTGATTTCATTACAGTTTTACCAACGCAACTCAAATACAGTTTCCATTAATTAACAAGGATAAAGGCTAAACAACTGCTTTCACAAAAAAGTTACATTTTTGAATTTGCACAACATGTATATTTGATCAAATACAATCCCTATTCACCATTAATCATGTCTCATGAATTTTATTTTGTGATATCGCTACTTTGATTGGCTAAGCATTTTTTATACACAATATCACAGCCTACGGGCTATTCACCTGTTAAGGACTTTTGATCAAGGCATGTACTTGGCTCCTTTCATCCTTGGAATGATATGTAAATCTCTGATGTCATCATGCTGAAGCAGCCAACACAAGTAGCGCTCCGTCCCCATGCCCCATCCACTGGTCTGGAGTGGTTTCACTTGCCGCATGTCAATGTACCATTTGTAGGACTTTTCTGGCACTGCATGGTGCCTGAGGGCATCTTTCACCATCTCAGGGTTAGAATGCCGTTCACCAAGACCCAGAGTCTCTCCCAGCCCGAGGAGAAGGTCAGCGGCTTTGGCTTTGCTGCGCCCAGTGCCCTCCATATAAGCTTGGTAGAAGGGAACACTTAGATGATCCATCTCAGTCAGCCAAACTGCACCACCATTTTTCTCAATCAAGACCCGCTCTCCTTTGCGTGTCAGCTTTCTGCCAAACTGCGGCTGACCATCTTGTACCCACTCAAAGCAGTCAGCAGAGGGCATCATGGGAATGGCCTGGTCCAAAGAGACTCTTGGGAGAGGAGTTTTTCCATCCAGCTTACTCAGCATGGCTTTCACATGTGTAAGAGTCCCGGCAGTGTTTAGGATCATATCAGAGTGTTTCTTTAACATGGACTTGGTTAGATGAGCCAAGTACCCCTCTGCTGTGGAAATGGCTTTGTCCATGTCTCCCAACAGTTCACACTCCACATGGTAGAACTGATTCAAGTGAGTTGCATCAGGATCCTCGCCTCTGAAGCTGGGAGATATGTAATACGTCCCCGGCAGGTTCTCCTGGAAGCGAAGGAAATATTCAAGTACAAATTGCATCGAGTCAGCCAGGTAGATGTCCTGGCCCAGCAGGTTAACCGAAACTGGTTCTGAGTCCGATCCCAAGCCCATTGGTGAGGAGATGGTGTCAGTGGTGAGAGGGGTCAGAGCATAGGAGTACTGGCAGGTAGAGTGGAAATATTCTACTGTGCTGTGGAAAAGAGTGTTTTGAATCTGGAACAGGTTGCGATACCACTGGCTCTTGATGGCAAGTGTGGAGTGAGACTGGGGGTCCTGCCATGAGTGAGAGGGCCTGCAGTGGGTGATTTTTGAGTGGATCTCTTTGAGGGTCTCAGGGTCAGCAGCTGGGCCATCCAGTGATGACACATATCCAGGGTAGCTGTGGAAGAACTCTGCTTGCAGATCAGCAGGTTTAGTGCCATCTGGTGAAGGTAACAGAGGGATTAGCTTGGCATGGGCATAATCGATCTCGAAGCCCTCAAAGATCAGTCCAACTCCTTGAGCTCTCAGCCCCCCTTCCAGTAGTCTGGCAACTTCATAAGTGGCCAAGATCAAATCTTTGTAGTCAGCATCCTCAACTTTGAAGATGTCACTGGACAGATGTTTGCGCGGCACCACAACGGTTAATCCAGGTGTGTTTGGATATGGTGTCAGGAAGGCAACATGCTCACTGTCCTCCCACACCCTCCACTGTTGCTGCTCTCCACGTACAATTTGGCTGAACAGGTTATTGTTGGAATGGTCTCCGCGGATGTCAAAGCATGAAGGTGCATTTGGCGTTGGCAGTCCATTTCTAATCTTGGCTAGGACCTGGGTCAGTGCCTCATCATCCCAGCGTGGGCCACTTTTTGAGGTGCAGTAGCCAGGATTGTGAGTTTGGAATTCTTCTTCACTTGCAAGATGAGGCTGCCATTTTGAATCTAGGCCATGAAGAGGAAGCAGTCTGATTTGTGCAGGTTGATCAGGAGTTGGATTAAAAACCATGGCACAGCGCTGCACTTCCAATCTCTGACATAGCAGATTTGACACTGCTCTCGCTCCTTGTAGCATTGCCACAAAGTCCGGTGTAGGCAACTGGAAGATGCTACTGACCCCACTAAGACTTTTTCTGGTCAGAATGGTTGACCCAGGGATCCAGGGGTTGGGAGCCAGGTAGGCAACCAGATCATCTGTTTCCCAGATGACATGTGAGAAGTTCTTGAGAGGCCTGAAGACCTCTACACGTGATATGTCATCTATCATTGAGGCCACAAACATCACTCCGGAATTTGTCTCAATGACGGCATCACCTTTGGTGTCCAAGGCAATGATTCCTGCACAGGTTCCATCAAGATTGTTAGCCATCACTTCTTTACATGCTTGCCTAAGGCTACAGCCAGTGTGGTGGTAGAGACTGGCTATTTTCTGTGCAACTGTGTGCCTCAGAAATATATCTCCATCTCCAGAGCAGGCAATAGCCACATTGCCATCAGCATATATTCCCGCCCCCACTACTGCTGTATCCCCAACTCGTCCTTTCAGCTTTCCAACCAACCCACCTGTGGAAGATGCAGCGGCCAACCCACTCCAGCGATCCAAGGCCACAGCTCCAACTGTCTGAGGGTGGATGTTTTTTGAGGCCTTCTCCTCACTGAGCTTTGCAGTTAACTGCCTGTGACGTATATCAGTGTAGAAATACTCCGCCCCAACAGGCTTCTCCATCTCCAACCCTTGTAGAAACTCCTCAACGCCATCTCCCACAAGGAGTGAATGTGAGCTTTTCTCCATGACACATCTTGCAGCCTTTATGGGGTTCTTCACACTTTGCACACAAGCAACTGATCCTGACCTCATTGCATTGCCATCAATAATGGTTGCTTCCATTTCAATTTTGCCATCTTTGTTGAATACGGAGCCTTTACCTGCATTGAACAAGAAGCAGTCTTCCAGAGCTTCTACTGACTTCTGAACGGCGTCTAGACTCCTTCCACCTTGTTGAAGCACTTGAGATCCAAGTGTTAACGCCTTCTGTAGCGCAAACTCAATAACCCCGATGATGTCGGTGTTCAGCATCATCTCCTCTCCCGCACCACCATGGATCACCAGAGTGAAGTTTGTGTTCCTGCCAGAAGTGGAGTCACTCCAGGTTTTGCCGTTGTCCTGGCTGTCTGGGACATGGTTTGTCTCCCCATTCTCAGTTGGACTCTGATTCAGTGGATGCTCTAGGGCTCCCATTTGCTGTGCAATGGCGTACCTAACAGCTAGAAGCATCACTAACTTCAGGTTCATCTTCAGGCTTTCTTGAAGCGCCTCTAATGCCAAAGCATACTTCCCTTTCCCATTGAGAACAATGCGAACCTTGTCTCTCTTCCCAAGGTAGGTCACAGCCAGCTGATCTTTGGCATAAACATTCCCTACTCCACATTCTACACCCTCCATCAGATCTGTACCTGTGAGGTACACAGATGGACATCCAAAGGGTTCCAAGTGCTTCTTCAGTGGGTTGTCAGATGGCAAGGATTGACGCAAGACTGCTACATGGGGACCAACTCCTTGACCACTTTTGGTGTTTTTGATGCGGCTCTTATGCTCCAACAAAGCAACCTGGAACAACTGTAGGAGTTCAGGCGTGTATTGGATTGTGTTATCTAGGCCAATGGAAGCATCCAAGGCCCCTACTAACTTGAGAGAATGCATGGTGATGGAGTATGTAGGGTCACAACGGCCATGTTTGTAGTGACGCATATGGGTTGGTGTGATAAGCAAATGCTTGGCAGCAGCTTCACCAAGAGTCTTCCTCAGGGAAAGCTGCAAAGAGAAGTTTATCCAAGCATCGTAGAGGCCTCTCTGCCCTCTCAGAGTAGAAAAGACATCAGGATAGGCGTACATATCAAAAGTGAGGACTGTATGTGTTTCTTTTAAGTTGGGAGTCATCTTGGGTGTATTAACTCCTGGTAAAGGGAATGACAGGGAAGCTGGACAAACAGAATTGGCTTTTTTGGTGTTGACAGACTTATTTCCAAGTATGTCAGTACCAACTACATTTAAGTCTGCAGTTTCAGACAGATTGTACAATTTCTCAGTTATGAATCCTGCTAGCAGCCCATCCACGACGCTGTGCTCAAACACAAGTCCAGCCACGCCGTCCTTGAACATCACCAGGTTCAGCATCTGATTAAAGGAAAATATGAAAAAGATTTCATCAGAACCATTTTTCTTGAGATTTTAGACACACGGAATTTAAATAAATTCTGCTTAAAATTTTTCAATCATTCTTTGAATCCGAATGGGCAGGCGTGATTAATCTGATTTCTCAATGTTTTGCTCTATGGTCCTTATCAGTCTACATTAAATTAAGCTTAGGCGAAAATTCAGTCAGGAAGACTGGACAGGCTGTGCCGTTCCCCGGTGGCCTCCTCTCTCTCTGGGGGTGCACGGCCAGCTGACTGTGGGTGGGGTTGGGTAGTGCCAGCCAACCAGATGTGTGTGCCGTTACCCTAAACCAATTGCATTGGTGCATGCAAATGATAAAAACTGTTCTCCTCTCTTTTGCTGTCAGTTATCATTTCAGCATGCACCAAAGGCGACCCGCCACCACCCCTGACACCTCCAGTCTACAGCAGAACCTGGCATATCAGGAGATTGGAGCAACTTATTCTCTGCCACCACCAACAGTGTCTGGACTCCCAAAGGGTGTGATATGCCTTATCTCGGCTCGGCATCCCGGCCCCTGGTCTTTCTTGCAGCAGGATGGAGTCCAAGCCCCAAACAAGATTGCAATATAATATTCAATTGTTTCACCTAATTGTGTAGTATGGCTAAGAGCACCAAAATGAGAGATCTAAATGCAACATTAAGCTAATGAACCCAGTTAGCCAGCATGATGCATCCAAATACCTTGTCATAGTATCTCAGACATGGACCGTCTCTTCCTCTTCCCCCCTCTCTCACTGCATTCAGGATGTCAGCCAGATCAGACGGTGCATCACAGTCTTCCAGACCGAGCGTCAGCACGGCACTCTCCATCAGCCCAAGTGATGCCGCCACTTCCCCTCCTTGCTCCAGGATCTCTTCCCTGGTTGCAGCCCAGACATTTCGCTCCAGAGCCGAGAGGCTGCAAATGGCAGAGGGATCTTTCTGTTTTCCTGCACTGGGTTGGTCCATCACCTGAACCAGCTGGTTGTAGATGTCAATGAACTGACGAGCAGAAACCGGCCCACCAGTGCTGGGACGCTCCAGTATGTCCACAGGGAACACTCCTCCAACACAGGTGATGATGGCATGGAGGCTGTCTGGGTAGACCTAAAGATAACAAAGCTTCAGATTAGAAAGATTGGAGACCAGACATTTATAATGAATATCTTATTTTGTATTAATCTTACCGGTTATCTCACAAGTAATCTCAATTAATCTCACCTTGATCTCATCGTGAATCCTTCCAGGAATCCGGGTGGCGGCGAATACCTCAGACTGCTGTGTGCGCTCCATGGGCACGTTTCCCTGCAGTAGCAGGGGCTCACTGTACAGCTTTGCCGCTGCCCAAAGTAGAGCGGCTGCCCTCCCCACTTGGGTACATTTGTTTTCTTTTGACGGAGGAAGAACAACAGGGAGGGCAGTGGAGGTTGGCAGGGGCTCAGTGCAAGACAGCAGACTTCTCTTGAACTGATTAGTCACCCAATTCTCTTGGCCTGAAGCCCCAGCGGACAACTTGTCCTGGGCCTCTTCAAGCAGATCCCTCTGCTGTTCCAACGTACTTTTGAACTCTGGGTAAAGGTCAGGACCTAAAGTGAGCTGCAGGACACGGCTCACTTCTTGCAAGGTGACATCCAAGTCTGGGAGAGGGTAGTTGAGAAGGGTCATCCTGTTGATGTGGAGGAGACTTGAGTGGAAGAAAAGAAAACAAATTCACTGTTATTACCTGGGTTTGTATTGAAAGTGCTCATTGATAGAATTGAAAATATAAAGTTGAAAGGATTCACTCCGTGCAGCATGTAAAATGTTAAATATAACGGAAATGACATTGCAGCGTGTAGGTGGGGCAAGTCTTGAGTGAATTGGTTAATGGAGACGACTTTGTGACTTTTGAGTTGATATTTTGCCGTGCTTTTAGCCGTGTGAGCGCTGGCAGTGTTAGAATTTGCCATGAATATTCAATTGAATTTATTTTATTTTCTCTAGCCCAAAATCTATAGCTCTATGTATTTTTATTTTATTTCGAGGGCGACCTGGCCAAGAAGGCAGCAGCATGTATAAAAATTTGCCTCATAGGGCTTTACAGTCTGTACACATACAACATCCTCTGTCCTGAAACCTTCACATTGGCACAGCAAAAAATTCCCCCAAAAAGGAAGAACCCCTCAATGGGGATAAAAAAGGGGAGAAACCTGGATGGACAGACTGCGATGGATGTCATGTGTTGAACAGCTTAAAAGATGAACGTTACGTTCACCTTTTATGACAAATGATTCAAATATAAATATGATGGTCTTAAACCCTAATCCCCACTGGTTTCTGTGGATGGTGGTTGTCACTGCACTGGTCCTGCCATACACTTGTCTTAATACTCTCAATATTTGAATCAGTTCTGTCATAGGAATTTTATCCTCTCTCTCCAGTTTATAGACTTTAGGTCATGTTTAATTGGGATCTTTCAACAAGATCTATGATCTTAAGAAGGGAGGAACAGTAATTACATTACATTACATGTCATTTAGCTGACGCTTTTATCCAAAGCGACTTAAGTGCATTCAACCATAGGGTACAAACTCAGAAGAACAAGAAACAAGAAAGTGAGGACCTTTTTTTAGAGCTGTCAACATAAACACATTAAATCTATGGGCCAAGATTAATGCAAACAATATTAGTTAACATACTTTTAGTAATAGTTTTGAAATACATTTTAGTCAAATTTTAAATTTAAATTTAATTTTGAGATTTGCAAGAAATATTTTAATTGCTGCGTTTTTTAAGGGAATATTCAACAAGCTCCTGTTTTTTAAGTAATTAAAGTAATTGCATAAATAGTCATGTGATTAATTTTGATTCCAACTTGTATTTGTTGCCCAGCACTAGTATATACTATTTATATAAATAGTATATATATATATATATATACATATTATCAATTATCAACCACTCAAGTGAAGTCCTTTCATTTCCCCATTTGTTCTCAGACTCTTCAACAGTGACGCACAATCACACCCACACATGCATGTGCACACACGCAAGTAAAGCATTTGACCTTTCATTACCCGTTGATCCTGCAATGTCTCTTTTTTGCCCTCAGGCTTCTTCTCATCGTAGAGCAATCTCTACTTTCAGTATTACACACACACATCCCTGAACACGCACTCACGCACACACACACACGCACGCACACGCACGCACACACACACGCACATACCAACTCAAGTAAATATTTTAGCATTTATGCCTTTTCATTTCTTGGAACTCAGATTTGCTGTGTTGGCTTTCTTGCCTTCAAACAGCAGCAACATATTATTTAGCAGAATATGATAAATGTATCGTGATGTATGGTTAAAATGTCAAGCGCCAGTGGCGACAGGTCCAGCACCTGTCTAACACCTTCTGGGACAGATGGCGAAAGCAATATCTCCCGACACTACAGGCACGTAAGAAGTGGCATTCCGCTCATCCAAACATCAGCCCAGGAAGTGTTGTTATCCTCAAGGATAGTCAAGCACCAAGAAATGAATGGCCTCTTGGACTGGTAACACAGGCGTTCCCCAGCGAGGACGGGAAGGTACGAAAGGTCGAGATCAAGGTCGCACGAACAGGAGTGACTAAACTCTTTCTTAGGCCTGTTTCTGAGATAGTGCTTCTTTTCCCCCCAGAGGCCTAGTGGAGTGAACTGTCTAGGATTTATTGGGTGGCGTGTATTCACGCCAAGCGGGGAGTGTTTTGTCACAAACGTTAAATCAATGCTATGTTTTATTTTGAAAACAGGAAATGTGATGTAATTTGTCAGGTGACAGGAACCAGGAAGTCAATGAAGAATATGGCTCAGAACTGCTGTTTGTATTGGTAGCTTTTCAATCCAGTTGAGTCTGCATGCATCCTATACCTTTTTGATAGCATCGTTGTTTTACTATGCCGCCCTCGGTATATGCGCTCCGATACACCTTGGCAGTTAGACGAACTCTTTCTCATGTCAATAAATCCTGTGGACAACGGACCATTGTCTTCAGAGTCGTGACGTAAGAAAAGAGGTATGACTTTTCCCAAGGTGTATCGGAGCGCATATACCGAGGGCGGCATATCAATTATCAACCACTCAAGTGAAGTCCTTTCATTTCCCTATTTGTTCTCAGACTCTTCAACAGTGACGCACAATCACACCCACACATGCATGTGCACACACGCAAGTAAAGCATTTGACCTTTCATTACCCGTTGATCCTGCAATGTCTCTTTTTTGCCCTCAGGCTTCTTCTCATCGTAGAGCAATCTCTACTTTCAGTATTACACACACACATCCCTGAACACGCACTCACGCACACACACGCACGCACACGCACGCACACACACACGCACACACACACGCACATACCAACTCAAGTAAATATTTTATTTCCTATTATTTCCTTTTCATTTCTTGGAACTCAGATTTGCTGTGTTGGCTTTCTTGCCTTCAAACAACAGCAACATATTATTTAGCAGAATATGATAAATGTATCGTGATGTATGGTTAAAATGTCAAATATCAACTAGTTGGTCTTCACTGTTACAGTAACAATTACAGCAACCTACAAACTGATTTTAGAAATAAATAGGCTTACTCAAAAACTAAATAAAACCAATAACAGCGGGCCATTCCCACAGGCTAGGTCTGAACCTGCAGGTGCAAACAAGGTGCCTCACACATTTTCTTCTTCCAACAGTGGCAACATTTCAATCAGTATTACCATGAAACAATCCAGTTATGAGGCCACCGAAAAATGATTACAATTATAAAATGCAAGCGTACAAAATTACAGACAAACGAAAGCAACAAAAAAAAAACAGAATTACATTTTTCTTTTTTTGTCACCGTGCAGCTACGTGTGACGTCTCGACACAACTGACTTCTTTTATATACAGATCACAGATCCCTCCTCTCTCACAC